GGCTGATTGTAGTTCCAGACAATAAAGAGCCAATGGTCAGGAAGAAAGTTTAATATGAACAGAAAAATTGTTCAGCATTTAGACATTGAATTCAATTTAAAAATTGAAGCCAAAAACTTGTAATCTTTATTGGTTATTTTATATGGTGATGTTTAATATGCTGGGTGAGAGGGTAGTTTAATTTTTTAAAAAATTAAAAAGTTAAAAAATGCAGGATTGCATGCCCGTATTCCAGCTTCGAAGCCTCTCATTTCAAAGCGAAACCAAAGGGCATGCCTGGAGTATGCAAGAGAACATGTTGTTTGGACTGATGCACAATGGGATACAGTTCATTTCAGTGACGAGTCCAAGTTTACTATATTTGGTTCTGAGGGCAAAACTTATGTAGAACAGGTGAAAGACTGTATTCTCAATGTGTCAAGAAAACCGTTAAGTTTGGTGGCGGCAGTGTGATGGTGTGGGGAATGATTTCATCTGCAGGAGTTGGCCCTATCATCTGTGCACATGGCAATATTAATGCTGAGATTTACAAAAGGCTTCTTCAGCGGCATGTGGTACCAAGATTACACCATAATCTTTATGAATCTCCTATTTTCATGCAGGACAATGAACCTTGCCACAAGGCTCAGAGGGTTATGGCTTTATTTGAAGAAGAAGGAATCACCCTAATGAAGTGGCCAGCCCAGAGCCCTGACCTGAATCCAATAGAAAATGTTTGGAAGATAATTTGAGGACTCAGAAAAGAAACCCAAAAAACCAGGATCACCTATGGGAGTTACTGAAAGATGAATCAGAGGGAATTACTGCTGATTTTTGCAAGAAATTAATTAGATCATGTGGTCAACGATGCAGAGAAGTCATTGAAAATAAGGGGATATTTACCAAGTATTAAATTTTGTTGATATTTTGTTCGCAATCAATATTAACAAGATCATTCCTTAACTTTTGTCCAGTAGCTTATTTCTTTTGTTCCATTTAATCTTTATTTAAAAAAAAACTATTATGTAAATTTTTGTAACTTTGTATAATATTCATGTATTACACCCTAATCTTTATTTCGGTAAAAATTTCATTGCTAATCATACATTACTTTTTAAGTAATACACCTATTTATGTCTTTGTTGTTTCCGTTCCTTATATTATGGCCACTACTGTATATATTTGTGTGTGTATATATATATATATATATATATATATATACACAAACTCACACACTAATGTTCACCTAATATAAGGCCCAAGAGTCACTCACGGTTACTGTGTGGTGTTGTATGATGATCATAAAAAAAAAGGGGCAAGAAGAGAAGTTCATGGGGTTATACAGGAAAGATAATGTTTAACCCTAGAGTTGAAGAGGTTAAAATTGTAGTAATTTGGAAAAACGTCTTGAATGGGAGTCTGTCCAATAAAGCAGCAGTTCTTGGGAAGAATCAATCTTAAATGGAACTTACTTCTTATTATTGAAATAAAAAGAGAATGGGAATATAAATCATCCTTGTGTATATGGCCTGATAAAATATCTTATCAAAACTTTCTGAAAATGCCTTTGAGCTTAAACAGGTTAGGCATATGCAAACAATTTTATGGTTTATATACTTTTATTTATTCAAACTATTGTTCTCCACTTGATTATTACAGGTGTTATTATAGAGAAAAATGTTTTGACCAAGTACCTTCTAGTCCTTATCAGGTGTTCATTGTTTTGGCTGATATGAGATATCTTAATTATTGTGTTGTTTTGTCCCTTGGTGCCAGTTCTGGAATTTTTGATTGATTTGTTTATTACAACTTATCAACCTTTTACAGGTTATTTAAAGCCAGAAAATAGTTTTATATTATAACAATTTTCTTTTCTTTTTTATTCACAAATAATAATGGTTTAGTAATACAAATCTTACTAATTAACAAATTTAAATGGAACTTAGCTCTCCAATTTCAAATTCCAAGCCATTATTACATCAACCACACATCCAAGCTTACAATACTTAATATTCCCAAGTGGTCACGCATCTAGGTACTTACAAGGCTCAACATTGTTTACTTTTGGTGATCATACATGAACCAGTGTTTCAATATGATGTGGCTGTAAGCACCAATTCGTATTCATTCCTACTGAGCTAATGTAAACTATTTCACTACTTGATCCAGGGATTGAGCTCACAATCTTACTTGACCAAAATGTTGTTTATAACATCTACAATAACCAAGATGAGAACAATAGTTTGAATAAATTTAAGTATACTGACTTCAAAAATGAAAGGGAAAATATTGTTATTATTATTATGGTTATAAATATGTGGGAATGTCTTAATACCTGGGAAGTATTCTCCTCCTTTTCCAATGTCCTTGAAATAATTTTAATTGGCAGAAGCTCAACTCAAAACTTGTTTTCCTTGTAATGTTAATTTAAAACCCTGATGAACAATGAACTGAGTAAACGTGACTGCATCAGTTCATTATTTATTCATTGTATCTGCTATTAAGTAGGAAATGTGATCGTGGCAGAAGGAGCCAGAACACCCTACTTAAGGGATTATCTCTGACAAGATTTTATTGCAGTCAGCAGCCTTGGGAATTTCCTCCAATGAATTATTCATAAAGTAAGAAGAGGAAAGGAAAAGAACGAATTCATTTCTATTTATTGTCTTTGTAAAGAAAACAAAAAACTTTCTCAAGATTATATACGAGATTGATGGGTCATAAAACCTAGTTGACTGCCAGTGATATATTTCTGTTTTTATTTACATGCCGACTATTGTCCTCATCTTTGCTGTTGTTATTACAATCATTGTGCCCTCTGAAGAAGAAAAAGTGAATGATGGATAATCTCCCCATGGGTGAAATGAAAATTGCACACAACAGAAATGTGGTTCTACAGAATGATACTGAGAATTCCATGGATAGCGCAAATAAAGAGGTCTTAAAGAAACTGGCAACTAAATAACAGTTATGCTCAGAATCAGGAAAAGAGGACTGGAAATCCTTGGATGCACAATGAGGAAGGAGGGCTTGGAAAAATTAGCCCTCCTCATTTTTTTTCCATATAAAGTTATCTTCATCCTATACAAGAACTACTTGAGGTAGAGGGATTCCATGTAAGAAGTATGACTGTCATTTAAAAGGATGGATAAACTCATAACAATCCATCACTCTTTTCATGGTTTCTAATGAAATTTTTCTGTTTCTCAGCACTTTGCTTAGCTTTTGGAAGGCATCTTTCTTTTGCTCGTCCAATGCCTGTTTGGCTTTTGGTGTTACACTTTCAATTCCCTGTAAAAAACACTTCCCAGATATTTAAATTTTTGTACTTGCTCAATGTTGACATCTCCAATTCATAACTTACAGATTTGGCCCTTTCTCTTACTGATGATCATGCTTTTTGTCTTTGATGGTTCTTTTTTTTTTCTTGCTTTCTTTTACTACCCTGTCTAGGACGTCCTGTAGTTTTCTTTCCATGTCAGCCATCAACACAATATCATCTGCATATCTTATATTCTTATATCAATCTTCTAAATCTATAAATAAACATATCATGCATTATTATCAATTTGAGAAACAGAATAATAATAGAAGTTTATTTACTTTGAATTAAGATGCGTTATTTTTTCACTATTTACATTATTCAGATTACTATTGTCCTCATCTTTGTCGCCATATTTATTACAACGTTTCTGCCATTGTACATTCCAGCCTTTATTTCACTCACTGGGGTAGACTGTTCTCATTCCATGTGCCATGTCTAATGAATGTCAGTTATCTCCTGTTAATTCCCCTCTCCAAGTTCTCCACCACCTTAATCAGGTATTGAACACTATTTGGGTTCTGTCACTGGATCTAACTAACACCTTTATCCACTGTGCCATGTGTCCTTGAGGATATCTGTATATGAATTTCTGGGTATTATAAACGTAATGTCTTCAGCCTCCATTTTTTATCAGTGCTCATATTGCAATTTTCACTGTTATCATTACATGTTTTTACCAGAGCTCATATTTCAATTTTTGTTGTTGTTATTGCTTTTCTCTGGCACTCTTTATGATTCCCATATTGTATATATTTCTATGTTTGGTCAGCTCAGGAGATTTTTGTGGCATAGCATATGTGCTGATTCCTTAAGTTTACGAATTTTCCAATGATGTCCTTTGTCTATGACCTCGACCTGATCCCACAGAGGGTGGTTATCTCCCTTTTCTCTCCATATGTGGTCAGCCACGCCTGATTTTTCCACTTCCCCTCGTGTTACAGCTTTCTGGTGTTCTTAAAGCCATACCTTAAGGGGGTGGCCTGTCTCCCCTTTATATTTCTTTCCGCAGTTGCACAGGATAGCGTACACACAGTCTTTAGTCATATTCTCCTCTATGAGGGGTCTTACTCAGATAGATATCTGCAAAGTGTCGTCCAGCTTTTGAAGGTTGTCCTGATCCGCAGATCCATATAACATCAGGACAACCTTCAAAAGCTGGATGAAACTTCGCAGAGTGAAGGAGTGCCAGAGAAAAGCAATAATAACAAAAAATTGCAATATGAGTTCTGGTAAAAACATGTAATGATAACAGCAAAAATTGCAATATAAGCACTGATAAAAAATGGTTGCTGAAGACATGAGGTTTATTATACCCAGAAATTCATACACAGATTCCTCAAGGACACATGGCACAGTGGATAAAGGCGTTAGTTAGATCCAGTGACAGGACCCAAAGGGTGTGAATTCAATACCTGGTTAAGGTGGTGGAGAACTTCGAGAGAGGAATTAACAGGAGATAACTGATAACTGACATCCATTAGACATGGCACATGGAACTAGAACAGTCTACCCCAGTGAGCAAAATAAAGGGTTCAGTTTGACATTCCAATGATCTGAAGAAGGCCAGAATGTACAATGGCTGAAATGTTGTAATAAATGTGGTGACAAAGATGAGGACAATAGTCTGAATAATGTAAATAGTGTACATAATACCTCATCTCAGAAATATAAATAGATTATTTTTTTCTCTCAACAGTTACCTTATTTGGAATGACACCTATGTGTCAAATGAAAAAGTGGCTGAACTTGAATGCTATCAAAGAATTAATCATTTTCCAGGAATGGCCAAAATTACGAGGAAGGATTGCTTGGCTCGGAATTTTCAAAAGTAAGTTAGCTTTTTGGCTTTTTTCCACCTGTAGCAAAATTGTAAACACTTTTTATCAATTTGAACATGAATAAAAAAAATATTCATTTCAACAGTAGAAAAAGAACTATTTACCCTTTTTTATAACATAGGATTATTTTGCTTTTCAAAATATAAAGTCTTTGTTTACATGTCCTAGTACTCTCAGAGCATCATCTCTTCAAGCATTGATCCAATTAACTGTTGTTTTAATTTCAGTAATAAAGTAATAAACATTATAAGAATACTGTGTACCCAATAAATGAATTATCTTCTATTATTATTATTATTATTATAGCACCCATAAAAATAACAGGATAATTTACATATAGATCAGCACTCCTGTTGAGAATGTGCAATGAAAGAAAGTAGAAAGATAGAAATGAACAGAAAAGTGAGTGAAAGGAAAATGATCAAGGAAAGGTAGAGGGTAGGGAAAAAAAGGTGGGAAAAACGAAAAGAAAAACAAAGGAAAAGAAACAGGGTGGGAAATAGAAACAAAGTAAGGAAAGGGAAAGAAAAATAAAGATGAGCTTTTATTACTCCTTGATCCTTTGAGCGTATTTAATATATTTTGTTTTAGAACCTGATGTAGACATAGGAAGGTAGATAGGTATGACTCTGTGTGTATATATATATATATATATATATATATATATATATATATATATATGTGTGTGTGTGTATTTTTCTCCCAAAACTAAAACCACAATATGAAGTTTAGAACAGCTCATGATCAAACATAATAGACATTTGCTGTCTGTTATATTTAACAATATATGTTTGAATATATATGTGTGTGTGTATAGGGTGATTGAAAAGTAACTCCACATTTTAAAATACTTATAATTTATTTATTAACAACAATTTTTGCAAGAACTGGATATGAGACAAAAGTGTTTAGAATGAGTTTTTATTTAAAATTCAATATGTGTACCATATTTTGCTACCAGCTGGCACTTCAACTCCTACCATCCATCCAGTGTAAAGAAAAGGATCATCCACTGCTTCCAGCATTGAGAAAAAAATCGTAAGTGGCTATCCAGATACATATGAACAAGAAATGGTCAGTATAAGAGGTACCCCACAATGTAATAACTACCTTTGGTACGTGGCAGCAGCTCCAACAAACTGGGCTAGAAGTGTACAAGAGGATATCAAAACTCAGAAAACAGCTTCAGTCTGCCTACCCGATGTGAAGGGACTATTGGAAAAAATGCACAGAATCTGTAGTCTATATAACTTCAGGTGACTTTCAAAAGTGGTTCAACACTTTACAGACACCTTTTCCAAATAAGACCTCCCATAGATGAGAACATGATTAAGGACTGTATGTACACTTCCTGTGCAGCTGTGGTTAAAAAAATATAAAGAAGAAACGAGCCACTCCCTTAAGACAACATGAACATTGTAAAGCCATAACATGATGGGAAATAAAAAAATCAGACATAGCTGACAACATATCTAGAGAATAGGGAGATCACCACCTCCTGTGGGATGAGGTTGAAATAATATACAGAGAATATTACTGGAAAATACAAAAACTTAAGGAATCAGCACATATGTAGGCCACAAAACTCTTCTAAGCCGGCCAAGCAAAGAAATGAATACACTATAGGAACCAGTAAGTGCTAGTGTAAAACAATAACAACAAAAATTGTAAAAAAATGGTTACTGAGACATTAAGTTTCTTTATAAGTCCCAAAAATTCATTAAAGGATTAAAAGTGTCCTCATAGACACTTGGCCCAGTAGATAAAGCACTGGTTGGATCCAATGACTTGACCTAAAGAGTTCTGAGTTCAATACCTAGCTACTGGAGTGTTAAAGGGAGATAACTGAGACATCCAGAAGAGGCATGGCACGTAGAACTTGAACAATCTACCCTCGTTGATGAAATAATGGGTTCAGTTTGAAATTCCAATCACCTGAAGAAGGCCAGAGTATGAATATGGCAATAAAGATGAGGACAACTGTCCAAACAATGTAAATAGTGTAAATAATTACAATGCCTCATCTCAGAAATATAGACAGATATAGGAGGATACAGGTTCAAATCTTGCCAAAAGGTGCATTTTTTTCTCTACTATGATTTCTCAAATGTTCAAACCAGTAAACAAAATGAAATACAGTTTAAAAAAATAAATAGAATGTCTACTCAAATATAAGTATCTACTAAAATAATGTTTAAAGTAATAAAAATGTCAGATTAATAAATAAAAATTCATTACTTCTTTAGATGTATGTATCAGAGACTTTGTTACTTTTGACTAGTTTCTTCATTTTTCACGTATCTATTTTCAGATTCAACATTTAACTAACCTGTTCTTCAGATTGTACGAGTTTAGAAAAACAACAATTATCTTCAGATGACTGAAATTTGAATCTCATTCTTCAGACATTTGTCATTTACAAGCAATGCTTTACCATTAAGCTACTAAAGCTGTACTAAGAGGGGCAACTCTCAACTTTCACTTTTATTCCACACTCAACTGTTAACTACTTTGTTATAGTAATAATTCCTCTTGTAACATTGTGTTTTGTCTTTTTGTTTAAAGGATTAAAATTGTCAATAAAAACCAAAAATCTGATTGGATAATTTTTCAGAATGCAGAAAGTAAACAGTGAAGAATTTAATTTCCATCCCCTGACATGGATTATGCCAAGTGATTTTTCTGCCTTCTCCAATCATGTTAAGAATCAGAAGGGAAAGAAAGAACAACATTTTTTTATTATCAAACCTTCTAATGGAGCGCAAGGAAACGGGTGTGTAATGTTCCTTTCTTAAATGTAATTTTTATCTATGAAGCTATCAATTGTTAGACTATTTGAGAAAGGTTAACAGAAATTCTTAGTTGAGTCATTGGTATTAGTCTACAAATTATTTGGACAAGTTTTTATTGTTTCTTCCATTGTCTTCTTCCTCAGATTCATAGTCATGCTAAGACACATTTTTTTTATTCCTGAACCGTCCTGTGTATGACGATAAACTACATCTGTGTCCAGGGTAAGACGATAAACTACATCCAACAGCAAGGCCTCTGATCAGGAGCTTTTGAGGTGCATGGAACCACCTCTTAATTGCTGGTGTTCCCAGGTCCACCCTAACTCAGGGTGGTAGCACCTGTTAGGGTCCCAGCTATGGGTAAATAGTTAACCCTCAAACTGGGGTCAAAACACTATGAAAGTGTAAAAATAAGTTTTAATACCAGAAATACTTTGTAAAAAAAATTATTACCAGCAATAAATTTTAGAAGAAAAAAATTATTACCAGCAATACATTATTAAAAAAAATATACATATTACCAGCAATACATTTTTGAAAAAAAATATTACCAGCTATACATTTTTGAAAAAAAGATATTACCAGAAATAAATTTTTGAAGGAAAAATATATTACCAGCAATACATATTTGAAAAAAAAATTACCAGCAATAAAAATGTTGGCATTAAATAACCCATTGTGGTTGATATGCCGTAAAACAAACCAAACCAATTTATTCCTGAAAAATACCATCAAAAATGGCCCTATGTCTTACCACTGAAAAGACATGTTGTAGAGAGGAAATTGCCAACCCTCACAAACCCCAATCATGAAATACAATCACAAAGCCTAGACATATAAGCCTACAATTATTATTCATATATAATAAATACCATATATATTGTTTTTTTTGGGCGGGTGTATTAATGATAACCAGTAGTAATGTAAACACTGTGTGTTGAGACAGCTTTTGGTGGTAAGTACAAATTGTTTCTGATATAAATAAATGTAACATTGTGCTAAATTATTTAAAAATCTAATTCATAATAACCACAAATATTTAATAAGTTCAAAATGTGATAATTTGTTATGACAAAAAGAATGACACAGTAGACTTGTTAGTATGGTAATCATCAAATATTTTTTTAAATATCTAGCTATTTATAGGGTGTGTCTTACCATTTATAGCATTATAGCATCTTAACATATAGGAAATATGGTAATTCAGTTGGAATTATTTTCTCCTTCATGAAACATCACTCATGTAACATCGTGGAATCTGGCTATGGCTTAAAATACAAGCAAAGTAAAGTAGATAATGAATGATTTTATCTGAGTCAAAGCACAACAGTTTTTATGACTATGGAGACAGTAAAATCTATGAGGGAATTCTTCAAAGTAATTATATGCTGTCTACAGAAAAAGAAAATAAATAGAAAAATAAAGAAAACTTTTTAGGAACAAGTGCTACTCAGCCTGGAAAGCAGAGAGTTTTGGTCATGTGTTTATATAGAGATACTTGCAATCTGAGATAGGTAAAGTATATTTGGGGTTCTTGCTGGCTAAAGGGACAATCTGGTCAGTTTGTCATGAGAAAAGACACAAATGACAGTGAAGATGTCCCAAGTGTCATTTACTTATCCCTCTGGACCATGACACATAACTCGGTGAATAAATAACTAAATACATTAGATACAAGATTTGCATTTTCTTTTCTTTTCATGGTGATATTTTTATCTTCTGTTCCCTTGTGAATGTGCATGGGGGGGGGGCTTTCAGATTTGTCCAGTCAGTGAGTGAAAGACTACAATTCTATGTTTACTTAATCCCAGCAACAAAAATTCTTGAAAACAAGATCAGATCAAGATATTTATATTGCACTTTTTATTTTAATTATTTCACCCCAAACAAGACTATAAAGCCACTAATACACAAGGGTTCACTGAGTGTGTAAGAATCCAAGAGAAATAAAAAAAACAATATAAAAGAGAGAGGACAATAAAAGAACAATTATTAAGAAGACAGTGTATTAAAAATTCTTGAGATCAAATTTGACTGGAAAGCAAGAATCTAGAAGAGTTCTATGAGTGAGAAGTGAACCATTATAGAATTTATGGTTACATTTAGCCATTTCACCTGTAAAATGATGAGACCCAACTGCCAATCTAGTACTGCACTTAAATTCATAAAGTTGAGGTACTAAAGAGGAAAGCTCATAAGAACAGTTACCATGAAAATATTTATAAAAAAAAAGACAGAGGGAAACTGTTACAGCAGTGGAAAAGTAACAGAAACTGAGATGCCAGGTCAGGATAATTAACATTTCAGATTCTTCTTTTGATTTTATGAAGAATCTTTAAATACATAGTAGAAGCACCAGATTAGATATGGCAGCAATATTCAATGCATGGACGAATGGTAGATTTATAAATATGCAAGATAGATTTTGGTGATAAAAATTGTCTAGCATGATACAGTGAACTAACTTTCCTAGCAGCAGACATAGTACTTGATTCAATATCATCTTTCCACTTCATCTCAGCTGAAAACATACTTTCACAAATGAATAATGCATCACAAGGCCTTTTCACTTGTTAATTTTTACTAAAAACTTCCTCTCTTATTTTTTTTTTATCACAAGGTATAATTAGAGAATAGAGAGTATGTTTGAGCTTTTGTTTTCTTTGAAGAAAACCTTCTGCTCAAATGGTTGTAATGGTTCAAGAAGCTTTTAAGGAAGAAGCTTCAGGTAAAACACAAGTATACAAGTGACATTCATGTTACAAATGTGTGAAAATCTCATTTGAAGATCAAGCATGATTTGGCTGACTTTTCAACAAGCAGAAATGATTAAAATCTTCAAAAATTTGCCACACAATCTATAAAGATTTTCATTGGACTGTTAAAATATCTTAGATGGATGTACAGGTAGTGTAATGGTTAGTGGCTTGGGATGAGAAATCAGTAAGCAGAGTTCAATGCAACCAGTGTAGAAGAAGGGCAACTCTGAATTCAAAAATGTATGTAGCTCTGCCATCATGCATACCATACAGCCATGGAAAGGATTGTGAAGTTTGCAGATCTTTAACTGGAGGTGACTAGTTTGTTTTGGAGCTTATGTCTGCAAATATGAACAGATTTGAAAATGGAATGCATTTTTGCCAAATGTTTGCTTTCTTTGCTCATAGTGGATTAAAAGAATAACCATTTGCCCCACAATTGAAGGGAATAAGCTAAAAATGACCCATGTATTTTTTTTTCCAAAGTTGTGATTGGGAGTGAATCATACTACTACATTTTAATTTTATTTTTAATCATTTCACAAGGTAATGAAGAGTGTGAGAGAATATAAGTAAAAGAAAATATTAAAAGAACAAGAATTAAGAAGACAGAAGATAACAATTAACATAAGGAAATAAAATAAGCATCACATCAATGGTAAAAATCAACTTCACCAAGACAGTGTGGTGTGAACAATCTAATATCAAGACAATTGTCAATTTGTTTCTTTGATATGAATGAGATAATTCCCAAAGAATTAATTCCCCCTCAATGGATGGCAGTTTAACTGTTTTATTTGGAATAGTTGAGAAAATTACATAAGTGTGTGTTGAGAAAATGAACAAAAATTTGAACTTGCAGGATCCTTCATCATGACTATACTACTGCCTACATGGCTTTGAGCATCCAACAATTTCTGGCAAAGACAACCTGGTGATTATCCCCTAGCCACCTTAATGACCTCATAACATGTGACTTTTTTGTTTCTTCAAATATAACATGATCTGAAAGGGAAGCATTTTGCTGGTATCAATGATGCAAAACAAAAACACTGGAGGCCTTTGACAAGATCAACAGTGAAAAGTTCTAGAAATGTTTTCCAGCAATAGAAAACATATTGGGACAAATGCAATGGGATATAAGGAGAGTAGTTTGAAGACAACTAGAGTTACAAGCTGTAAAACATAAGAAAACATTCTCTCTGTTATTTTCGGGTATCCTGTCATATGCTGGAAAAAGCTTAAAGAATGCTTTTGTGGGGGTCCTTACTATATAGACATTTTTTGATTATACTTAACTAGCAGCAGAGCCCGGTGTTGCCCGGGGATGTAACAGTAAGAGATAGATCAAGTATCGACCATCATAAAGACTGAAAAATAAAATTGACAAAGATTATTGTTTAAGATTGACGGACACGCATGTCTCAATTAGTTTTTTTTGGTTGTTTTTTTTTTACGAATTGGTCAAACCCAAACTCAAACAAAAACATTGTTTTTAATCGTTATGGATCTACCGATTGAATAGAATTTCATTATAAACAATTGTCTTGTAAATGGAATTTTTAAAGCATTCTGAATGTAAAAATGAAGAAAAAAGTGTGCAAGACAATAAGAAACACTACCTGCCAAAAAAAGTGAAGTTTGTTGAAATTGGTTGAAAAATGTAGGAAATCTGATCCCATATATAAATAAACACACACACACACACACACACACACACACACACAGACAAACAACCTGGGTTTTATAATAAGTATAACTCGATATGAGTTGTCCCCCCCCTTTCATTCTCATGATGCCTCTTAATCGTGTTTTCAAATTGATTTTGTGCAAAAACAATTGTGTTTTTCCAATTTTTGGCACTTTTAGAACCACTGCAAGGTAATTTTACGTAGTTCCATGAAGTTTTGTCAAAATCGGTTGAAAAATGTAGGAAATCCGATCCAATATATAAATGTACAGACACACACACACACAATCTGCATTTTATAATAAGTAAGATGTAGTTTCCTAGACTGAATTCACTGGCCAGGGAAGAGGGTTATTCTCATTGAATCAATGGCTATGTGTCTCTAACCAAGCAGGCATTCAAATTAGAGGCTTGTGGTCTAACCTAGAAATGGATGGGATCTGCCAGGTTTACTTTGCCCAAGCCATGCTTCACATGAATGAATACCGACCAAAACATGTAGAAGGAACAGGTCAAGTTCTCAGCTGACCCCACCTGGTCATAGGAATGCTGCTGATGATGATGCCAATGCTAGGAAAACCTAAGAAAGCAGAAAACATTTAATAAAACCAGTAACCACAATGTTACAACTTAATAAAATAAATTAAGAAGTCTGTGTTTGAATGTAAATCAAAAGGAAAAACAAACAGTAACAATGAACATATACAAACTTTCCAATAGTTATTTTATATACAGAAAAAGTGGCATATTGCTCATAGGCAAGAAAAAGTTTTCTATTTTAGTCATTAAACAAAAGAATCTCAACTTATCATCTTGTGGGGGTACACTTCCTTTCAACTTTTGTACAAACTGTTACTTCATAACTTACCTGTTATTTGTTGGCAAGAGAAAGATTCAGCTATATACTTAAATTGTTATACTCAAACTGTCACTTTTTAATTTGCCTGCCAACCACAACTTTTCATCTTTATCACAACATTGCTATTTTTAAGTTTATCTGCTCATGGGCAAAAGATGGGTATATCAGTTCATCTTGCATCCAAAACTGCTACTTTTCAGCTGATTGATTTTGTATCCTTACTAATCAGCTTTCACTGTTCATTCAATCATTGTATTGTTTCTTTATTTGCATAACTTTTGCCAACTTAGTATCAGCATGAAAAATCAACATATAAAACCTACTCCTAATCCCTAAGAAATGTACCAATGGGCTACTATATTTATACTCAAAGAGTGGTGGCCTCACTTAGATTGATGGATTGATTTTTTCTTATGGTTTATCAGCTTCTTTTTTAATTTTTTTTTGCAATGATGTTCACCCTGTACAAGGCCCAAGAGCCACTCGAGGTAGAGGATTACAGGATAAGAGGCACAGTTTATGGGGTTATATGAGGAAGATAATGGCTAACCTTAGACTTGAACAGGTTAGGTTAAAATTGTAGTGATTGGGGAAGCATCCTCTTGGAAGTCTGTTCTACAATGCCATGGTTCATGGGAAGAAACTACTCGGGTTAAAATTACATCTCACCAGTGGAATATGGAGAAAATGAAGGTGGTTTGCTACATGTGCATGGCATGGTGAGTCTTAAGTGTGAAGGTTAGTACTAAGGAATGTAGTTCATCTTAATACTCTCCATGGAAATAATGATAGAGTAGTGAGAGGTTTGTCATTTCATCTGTGGGAAAGGGGTTGTAGAGTGGAAAATAATTCATCAGGAGACAAAGCCAGAAATTATTTTTAGATTGTAAAAATTTACAGAAGATAATGATTTACAGATACAAGTCCTACTAATTAACCCATAGCTGGGGGGAGAGGAGATGGATCCATACCTTTCCAAAGGGCATTTGTATATAATTCACTAGAACAAGCCCAACAAGAATTGGAATTGGGCTTTCTGATTTCAAATTCTAAGCTGTTATCCATTATCAAACTTACAGCACCTGGTATTCTCAAGCAATTACCCAAGTATGTACTGACCACGCTTGATATTTTTTAACTTTGGTGATCCTACGAGAATTGGTTTTTCAACAAGATATGGATGTAAGCTGGATTTGTCAGCTTTATCTGAAATCCAAGAATTTCTTCTTTACTGATGGCTTCCTTTATAAAGATGGCATTGATAACTAAATTCACTGCCAACATACAGGTTCAAGACTAGAAGCTTCCAGTTTCACAAAAACCTGCTCCTGTCATCCATTCCCTATCACTGTTTGGTTTTGCAATATTTGGTTGGAGGTGAAACAAAATCAGAATAGAAGAAAGTGTTGGTGGCCTGAATTTGCTTAAGTTAACTTGCCAAGAATTGACTCACACACTTGATTTCATGACATTCCTCTGCAGTACATATGGAATGCAATCATGCAGAATCCAGTTATGAAACTGCAACAGAATTCCGCTGACTCTCTTATAATTTCAAGTGACACCTTTTGCAAAATGCCCATCATGCATAGCCCACTTCATCTGCTTGTTCAGCCATTGATATCTGTCGTAATCATAATTCACTTGATCCACCGTTGAGGTCTTTGGGGTTGGTTGCACTTAGTCTGAGTCCTCATCTTTGACCTTGCTTCTGAGGGTCGCCCCTACCAGGAGTTTAGAACTCCCGACGTCATCACTCTCAGAGTCATTGGACCATGCAAACTCCTCCACCATGACAAAAAGAAACCATCAGACGTATGCACATAGAAATATACATGCATAAACACATATATATTTTACACTGGATATCAGTGTAAACAGCACCACATTATTATTAACAATAAATAAGAAAATAATAGTGGTATAAAATTATTATCAAATATATGGGAATATTTTTACTTACTGTTCTTATTAAAAATATTTGAAAGATAAATAATAGCAGAAGAAATTGACTATTCTGATCTGAACCCATAGTAAAAGTAAAAAAAAAAACATTATGATTCAAAATGCTTTTCTTACAAATTTGAAAATACATCTTCATGAATACCAAAACTAAAACAGTAACAAAACAAATATGAAGAAACATGTCTGAATAATTTTGACAATAAAATATGTTACGGATTCTTATTAACAACAACAAAGTTTTAGGAAGTTTTTCATTTGCAAACACCTTCAGCCCAGTTTTTAACAAATTTTGTAAGAATAAAGTTTTTATTAGATTCTATATAAATGCATATTCTGTTACGGAATTGCTTTAAAGTTACCTTCTCTTTTTTTTTTTTTTTTTCCATTGCAGAATCTACTTGTGCAAATACCTGGAGAAATCAGTTTTAGGGGAACACAGCATTGTCCAGGAATACATTGACAAACCTCTGCTGATTGATGGCTTCAAATTTGACCTTCGGCTTTATGTTCTCATCACCTCTTGTGACCCACTACGCATATTTGTCTTCAAGGAAGGCTTAGTCCGACTCAGTACGGAACAGTACTTTCCCCCTAATGATCAAAATTTGGTAAGATGCTTTCCATTTTTAAAATGTTCTCGATAACACATGATCAAAAAGATGGAATAAAATATTTAGTTTCATTAACCATATTAATATGTATAAATTACACTGTCATGTATCTAAAGTCAATAGCTCAGATATTGATATTTCTTTAATTTTATAGGACTTAATGTTAAATAATATTTTTTAAGAAAATTTTTTTTTATCCCTTTTTAACATCGAAGAATAAATTCTCAGGATTTCTTACTCTTGAGCATGCAACATACAGCTGACCATGCATAAATATTTATTTCTGAAGCCAAATCCAAACTTTTTGAAGCATTTGGCCTTATGATTTGTTTATAGTTCTTGTAAATGCAGGGCAAAACTGGATTCTTGTATATTTAAAAACTGAAAGAAAAGACATGCAAAAAGCAATATTACATTTTTATTAAATAAATATTTGTCATTTTAATTATTAAATTGTTCTTAAAATAGTGGAAGTATTTTGTATGTTGAATAATAAAACTGTTAATTTTTCCAAAAAATTACTGAAAATTTGTTGTACTAAGCTATGCACCCTAGTAAAACCAACTGTACTTTGTACTCCTTTACCTGTTTGTACTTCTCTACAAAATTTGGTTTTGATCGGTTAATGTATGGCTATTTTAGAGCACAGAATTTTATATAAATATATTTTCCTGATAAATGTTCTGATGAACTCTACCTTATGGTATCTAGACTCTATTAATTTGAGTGTATTACTATATTGGTGGCAAGATCTCATTGTACAGTTGAAATGCTTAGATGTCACCATAAATTCTATGCTAACAGTTTGTTTTTTTTTTCTTGCACTTCTCACTTGTGGAACTCCCTTTCAGCTTCTTACTTTCCAGTCAATTTGGATCTTCAAAAATTTAAATGCAATGTCAATCTTTATCTTCTGTTCTCTTATACTCTGTTCCTTTTATTGTTCTTGTTCCTTGATAACATTTTTGTTATCTTCTTTCACAATTAGTAACCCCCTGCATGTTAGTGGCTTTGTTGCCTTGCTTGGGGTAAAATGATCAAAAGAAATTTATACCAGATTTACTTTCAATATTAATAAAAGCTGCTAAATAATAATTTTCAATGCCTATATTCATAATTTACTTTAAGTTGTAGCATCATAATGATTTGTTTTTTCAACTTTATCAGTGCGCCTTAGTTGAATAATGTTATTTGTTAATGGGCAAATCATAATTTAAAATTTACAAAGAACCTGATTTTTCTCTATATTATAAAAATATATTTTGTAATCATAGGCATCAGCTAAGCTTAGCTACGTTTGGCACAGGGATGCAGTTGTGGGGTGCTAAGTGACAATCAAAACTCATTATATAAACAATAGTCTGCCAGAATAACTTGTTAACCATCAACCTACATCAAAATACTTGCATCAGAATTCAATATCATGATTTTTACAACTGGTGGCTCTGGTGTGAAATATATAACTATCTCAGCCACCAAGCCTCATATGAAGCTTGTAAAACAATTATCATTTTAATACAAAAACAGTTTTATGTTGATGCTTGTGTTAACATTAGTTTTGTTTTATAGAGAAAACCTGATTTGAATTTCACCTTGTTAGAAATTAATGCATAAATCAAAAAATTGAGCTAAATATTAAAAAGAAATGCTAAAAGAAGTGGGTTTTAAAAGTTAGGAAGTCCAGAGTCTTGAAAGGAGGGAAGTTGAGTTTCTTAAAACACCAAGCTTCTTAAAAGGTGGGAAGTTGAATTTGAAAAGGTTGTAAGGGAAACTTGTTAAAATAAGTCTCTTGAATATATTTAATAGATGTAATTATTTTAAAAATTTTTATTTTGTTACCTAAAAAAATATTAATTTTTTATGTAAAAAAAAATTGGAAATTTGTTCTATCTTAAAAGTGTTATAGCATGATATAATGTTAATATATATATATATATATATATATATATATATATATATATATATATATATAATATGCACTTCAAGATACTATCTCCTGTGGTGAATAGTATTTTCTTTAATGTGGTCTGTTTGTTTTGTATAATAATGTTGTCTATGAATTCCTATGCACCCCCTGAGAGATTGCATATCCAACATCAATAATCAAAAGAACAGTCTTAAATATTAACATCAGGCACCCATGCACCACAATCTCTCAAAGGTTGACCTGCTAGAATTCAATTCAATCCATACACATATCAACCAGCACATCACAAAGAGCCAAAATACAATTAATTTAAAGACAAATATTTAAAAATATAAAAAAGTAAATGAAAACAAAGCTATAAAAGAAACACTAAAATTCACAAGTGACATCAAAAAGCTACTAAAAATTGAAGACTTCTGGATAAAACTTATTGAATACCATCCAAAAACACCCACATTATGCAAACTACCAAAAATACATAAACTGAATATACCAATGAGACCAATCATATCACATAAACTAGCTGGCATACTAAGCAAAATCTTAACCCCATTTCTCAGCACTATTAATCCATCACACATAAAAAAAATTCAGGTGATCTAAACAAATTAAAAAACAGACATTAAAAACAAATATATGGCTAGCTTAGACATGAAATCTCTATAGACAAACATCCCTATAGAGAAATGCCTAAATCTACTAAAAACACACCTAACAAAATCAAAAATTAAATTACCTCTACCTACACATAAAAATCATAAAATATACCAGTTAATCACCAAGCAATGGTACTTTACTTTTGATAACCAACTCTACAGACAAACATTTGGTTTACTTATAAGATCTCTCAGCAGTATTTTTGCTTGTCTATTTTTTGAGTTTCTAGAAAGTGCCCCATTCATTGGACTACCTCCAAACTATTCCATTTTTAGATACATAGACGAATCACTACTAATATATTCACAAAATACTAATTTAACTGATCTTGTCAACCAACTTAACAATGTTTAACCTACAATAGACTTCATCTGAAACCAACTGCACTCTTCCCTTCCTATATGAAATGTTACACAAAAACAATAACAAACTTAATTTTGACATTTATAGAAAAGCTACCAACAAAAATGATCTGGTCAGTTTCTACTCAAACCACTCCTCTAAAATTAAATCTGGAATAATTATAGGTTTCTATTTAAGAGCATTAAGAATTTACAGCCCCAATATTTACCCAAAGAAGAACCATACATAGTAAACACATTCAAAAAGCTAAAAAAAAAAAAACATATCATTTCATCCACAACATAAGAAGAAAGATGTACAAAATATACAACCTCAACAAAAATAATGTCATCTATAATAATAAATTATACAAAAACAGATATATAGTACAAATGACCACCTCTGGAATGCTCACTATCCAAAACAACCTACACCATTTAAACAACATCCAAATAATGACAACCACTTCCCAAACCATTATGGATATAATCAGATCTACAAACTCTCATAACAATAATATTTCTGAAGCAGGCATATATAAAATAAATTGACAAAAAACTGTTCCTCACAATACATTGGAAAAACATGCAGAAATTTAAAAAAACACATGTATGAACACAAGAGACCTCATAAATAATGATTTGACAAATGCACTGATCATACATAGAAATAAATTCAACAACAATTTTGATTTTAAAAATGCTACACTCATAAAAAAAGAAAATAATTTACTCAGAAGGAAAATACACCCCGGTTTTTTCCCAATGTCACCTTTCTTAGCAGAATCACTACTCTCCCAAGCCAATATACACAACAAATATATCAAAAAATCATCAGAAAATGGTTGAAACATTTAACACAACAATACAAACAATATGGAAAAAAAAATTTCTCTTCAAACATAAAAAGTGAATGACATAATTTTTCAGTTAACCCAATGAATATATAACAGCATTTTTAAATTCTTCTAGTTACTAACAGCATTTTGTTTTTTGTTTTTTTATAGATACTTTGTTTCAATAAATTCATTTCGTTTTTTGCCTTGAAAGAGTCCACATTGGATGAAATGCATCGGCTAAAACTACATGCAGTTTTCCTATTGTCTTTTTCTTTTATAGATATTGTCTTTTTCTACAGACTAGTTCTGAGAATTTATGTATATATATATATATATATATATATATATAAACATGTTACATTATATCTCTGAGTCTTTATTTTAATCTTCATTAATGCTGAATTCCTAATAAGCTTCATCCATATATTATTCAATTAATTTCTTATGCCTATATTATGAAAAATGATTGCAGAATAATCTATTTATGCACCTGACCAATTATTCCATCAATAAACGCCATGAATACTATGAGAAAGGAATGACACCTGATTCAGGCAACAAACGATCCATTAAATATCTTAACAAATATCTGCGTTCCAATGAATATAATGTGTCGAAACTGTGGCAGCAGATCTACGATCTGATTATCAAAACAATGATTCTTGTAGAACCACACCTACTGCATGCCTATCGCAACTGTCGACCAGGTGCTTTGCCTGGTAGCCCAAGTGTATGTTTTGAAATTCTTGGTTTTGATGTTATCATCGACCAGAAACTGAAACCTTGGCTTTTGGAGGTAAGTTATATTTTCTCAGTTGACTAAAATGTATTGTTTGCCTTTGTTTCCTTGCCTATAGTATTATTTGTAACAAAGGTTTCATCAGATATTGACCCAGAGTTATCATGTTGTTTGAGAGCTTAGACATCATTACCATTAAATTGAGGCACCTTGAAAATATCTCGTTCTATCACCAGACGTATTTGGCTTTACACAACAATGAAAGAATGACAAATCAACGCAGATGCAGTTTCTGCCAAATCTTAAATATATTTCCCCTTTCTAAAGAGTGGATTTTTATTTCTTAAGCATATTTTTATTATTTCAAACATTATTTTTTTTTATTAACCATATTTGAGAGGACACTAATTTTATTTTATTTTAAACAGTATTTCGTTTGGTCTACTGGCCTGCACAATCAAGAAAATTTATGAAAGAAAATGTGCCCTCTGGCAGGATTTATCTTTCTACATTTTCTCAATTGTGCAAGAGAGTAGATGAAATAAATACAATATAAAATAAAAAAGAAGCATTATTTTGAACATTGTCCCATACACACACACACACACACCCACAGAGTTATACATAGTTCTGGGTATGATGATAAACTACATCCAGCATAATGTCTCTGATTGGGAAATTGGAGATTTTTTAAATTGCTGTTCAACTTGACCCATTGTGGTAGCACCTGTTAGGGTCCCAGCTATGGGAAAGTAGTAAACCCCCAAACAAAAACTAAACATGATAAAATGTATAAAATTACATTTTTATATAAAAAACAGTAATACAAATTTATAGTAAAATCACCAACAATACATTTTTAAAGCCAAATGATTGGCAATACATTTTATAGTAGAATTGCCAGCAACACTTTTTATAGCAAAATAACCAACAATATATTTTAAGTGTAGTAGAAGCCATAAAATTGTCTTCAAAATAATTAGATTTTGGCATTAAATAACCTGTAAATATTGATATGCTGCTAAAAAATATAATCAACGAACCAACCAACAAACTAGTTATACATTTCCACTCTCCTTTTTCCTTATTGCCCTTTATCATTAACTAACTGCTTATTCTTCTATTGACCATCCTGGGTATGATGATAAACTACATCCAGCAGCAAGGCTTCTGATTGGGAGGTTTTTGGGGGAATGGAACTACCTTTTATTGCTGTTGTTCCCAGGGCCACCTTGTCCATAGCTAGGACCCTTACAGGTTAACACCTGTAAGGGTCCCAGCTATGGGCAAATAGTTACCCACCACCAAACTGAGGTCAAAACAATATGAAAATATAAAAAAAATTATAGTAAAAATACCAGCAATACATTTTTATAGTAAAAAAAAATATTACCAGCAATACATTTTTGTAACAAAAAAAAAATTACCAGCAATACATTTGTTAAGGAATTTACTAATGCTCCGAAGAAAACTAAATTTTAGCATTAAATGACCCATAAGAAGTTGATATGCCACTAAATAAACAAACATTTCTCTACTGGCATTGTTCTTTCTATTTCTGCTTGCAATTACACATCTTGCTCTGTTTATCTTGCAAGAGAAATGGTAAAAAAACCATTATAGTGATTGATGAGATTTCTTATCTTTCTTTCTGGAAGTAAAAATGTCATTTCCTCTTGCTGGTTCACTTTTAATATTAGTTTTTATATAATATATGATATGCCCACATTTCAGGCAGTTTAGTTAAAATCATTGGCTGATGGGAAGACTGATAGGACATACAGGGTCCAATCAAAAAGTATTGGAACTGTTGCTATGGTAACAGAACTGAACTATGCAATGTGAAGTTGCTTGGCACAGGTAGACCTTGAATTGCGTCACTATGCATACTAAGTTATTACATTCTTGCTTATTTCTCTTCTTCATAGCGCTGCTTGGAAAAAAGTATGTAAAGTATGGTTGTTTCACCACACCACAGAAGTTCCATCAGTGACCATGGCCTGTGCAACAGTTTATAGCCAATAACAATATTCCCTAGATCTTGTCCAGGTGAATTGAGATAAGAAATTCTTTTACACACAGTATATTCAGTGCCGTAGAATTATCATTTCTTTTTTTTTTTTTATCAATGCAGCATATGTTATCCATTTAAAAATTACTTTCAATGTTCAAAATTTTACCAACTTCATTGCATCAAAACCAGAATTAAGAAGGAATTTAAAACCTTTACAGAACATTGGCATAAGGTTATAAAACAAAGACAAGGACAATATTCTGGTGATTAATAAATATATGTACTAGTTATTATTAATTAACTAATTATAACAAAAGAAAAAATACTGGAAACTTTTCTTTTACACAGGATTACATGTATATTATCTGAAATCCATGCACACATTACAACATTGCCAGCCTATTGTTTAAATATAAAAATCAATTATTTTATATCTACTCTTTATGCCAAGATTTATTCTTAATTAAACAATTATTGTTTATTTAAGAATAAATCTTAATTAAATTAAGAATTTAAATTTAAGAAAAAATATTTAAATAAGAACCTCTTTAGAACTGTATATAAAAAAACATTTTCAACTGTCTTTTCATTTTTCTAACTCAATAAAAAGCAGCAATATGGCTCCTAGAAGACAGTGAAATGAATTATTCTTCTAATCAAAAGTAAATTAAAACTTAACCAAAAATTCTTACAATATCCCAAGTCAGAATTCTCAATGAATATCTTTTGTAAAATATTTTGTATTTCTAATTTAGTTTTTTTGTAAATTTGGGTTTCCACTACACAGATATTGATGAGGTTGAACACAAATTAATATTCGGTGTTCAAGGTGCAGTTTACAGAAATACATTTTTCTGCATAAAAAATATTTAAACATTTGTACAGAATAATTTCTAATAAATAAATAATAAATTTGCATTTTGGCAAAGTTTATCATTTGTTAACTGCAAATAAAAAGGTTTGTCAAAAGAACAGTTTTTCTTTTGACACCATTATTACTGTATATTTGCTTGGCAATTATTATTGTTTTAAAAAGCATTTTTTAGAATTTAAATAAATCCTAAGCTTATAAAACTTTATTAATGAATTCTTTTTTTTTTCCAAAATTGACAACAAAAGTGTCATACACTATTCTTGTAAATAAACAGTTTAATAGTGTTTAACATTTTTGATGTCATTCTCAAAAAATGTATAAATTTAGATGCTTCCAAACTATTATAGTGAATTTATGTGGTGAGAGCAAATGAAAGAAATGCCTGGAAAATGTATTTTTTTCAAAGTTTATAATTACAGTTACCTGTGGTTATAGGTTTAAACTCTCTTCTTCACAAACATTTTTATAAATTTATGAATAAAAATAATGGTTATTTTCCAAAATGCAAGCTAGCAAAACTTTTTGTAGATTTGTTACAAAGAATAAGGTTTCTAAATCACTTCTTAATTCAAAAAAATTGGTGTGCCTCATTCTTTCACATGTTTTTTTTTTTGTTTACTTTCACTGTTCTCAGGTGAACAGATCTCCTAGCCTTGGAACTGACCAGAAAATAGATTTGGAAGTCAAATCATCCTTATTAGAAGATGCACTTCATCTTTTACATATAAAGTAAGTTGTTGGTGTTTTATTCTTGATCATAAGAATTTTAATGACATTCTTTTTTGTTGAGATTTAATAGAAATATTTGTGTATTATTTAACATCAGCATAAGAAGGGTCCCATTTCCATATTTTCATAAGTTTTGATCACCATCCTATGTGTTGCAGCTACTTTATATTTTATAGGGACCTATTTTTAATTAGATCTCTGAATATTGCACTCAGTACAATATTTAAAGGCATGGTGTCATATCCAATTAAAAAATAACAATGTAATAAACAAGACATGAAATAATTTGTTTTTTTTATTTATTCACTCAGAGATTTTTAATTAAAAAAATCTTTTTCTTTGCTTATTTAGTAAACTTTTCCTCACTTTAAGAAAATACATCCATATTTTTTATCTGGCCACAAAGAGCCACCAGTGATCCATATTTTTAATTATGTCACTACTCTAACAACCATGCAGTAACCCTGTTGTTGTTTACTTTTTGTTTTTATGTTCAGCTGTTACTATTGTTGCTGTTGTTTCTGTAACAAATAGCATCTTACAGGGTGCAGTTGCCAACCCTATCACCATTTACGTGAATTTTGTACACTAGTTTCCAACCATGGCTAGAAAACCAAGTTTGTCCTGCTATTTAATCTATAGCTGGGGGGAGCATATTTGTGCAAAAGTGAACTCAGCCAATTACCCTTTCCACACTGATAACTGCTATACTATACACATCAACATTATTATCAACATTCTACTATTGATACTAAAATCATGGTTATTCACTCAGAAGCTAGAGGGCACACTAAACAAAGCAAATATGGCTTTGTATTATGGTTCATTCACACTTATTCCCTAACCTTTGTTTTTATCACAAAGTTTCAAGAACTACACTCTCTGTAAATATGTCTTTATTAGGCAATCCTTGAATAGAAAATCAATATATTGCCTATAAAAATCCCAAATAACAGCTGATAACAGTTGCTTGAGAGGCTAAGAAGAGGGCTTGCTCAATGTGATAGAGAAGTCATTCCTTCGGTAAAAATTGAAGCAGACTAATTCATCAAATATTGTAGTGAAATTCACTGATATCTTTATTGTTAACTGAAAGAAAATATTTTTATGATCTTTTAATAAGATGATATCAAATGACAAACCAATCGTAGTTGTGAAAAAAAAAAAAAAAAGAATTTTATTTGTCTTCAGTATTTATCTTAACAGATGGAAAACACAAGAAGTCAAGACTATAATTTTAATTTCTACCTGAAGATAAAGCATCTTCATACCAGTATTTACGTCATTTACATTGTTTGAACTGCTGTCCTCATCTTTATCATTATATTTACAACATTTTGGCCATTGTACACTACTGCCTTCTTCAGGTGATATACATTGGAATTTTGAACTTAACCCTTTATTTCATCCACTGGGATAGATTGTTCTAGCTCAACATACCATGCCTTGTTTGGTTTATTGGTTTACGGTATATCAACTTAAATGTTATATTTAATGCTGACAAGATTTTTAGGATAGGTTTTTATGAAGAGAAATATGTATTCTTTGCAGGAAACCAATTTGTAGATCAGGTTTCATTGATGTGTTTTTGTAAAGTGAGTTTTTGTCAAGAGTCAAATTTATTCCTGATAATATTTTTTTTCAAAAATGTATTATTGGTATTTTTACTATAAAAAAATCTATTTTCATACTTTCATAGTATTTTGACTCCAGTTTCGGGGTTTATAATTTGCACATAGCAGAGACCCTAACAGGTGCTATTAGAGGTGTTTCCACACTTCTCAAAACCTCTTGATCAGAGATGTATCTTATCATCATATCCAGGACTATACCTTTTTCTTTCAGTTTCAGTTATTCCCCTTTAATAACACAACTCTCCAAGTTTTTGTTTATCTCTGCTGTGACCAGGTATTGAACTCAGAATTCTTTGGTTCAAGTCACTGGATTAGTTCAACCAATGATTTTATCCACTGGGCCATGTGTCTTTGTGAATCAATAATGTTACATATTGTCCTTGACAATACAGTACAATAGTCAAAGGTACCCTTCTTTCCATTTCGAAGAGAAAATTAGATGGGTAATATGTAGCTTACTGTATATGATACCAGAATAGACTTGGCACTCAGTGTTCCTCATAGAAGCCACTTGCACAAGACCTTCTAGGTAGGAGTTGAGATCTACACTTTACTAAAAGTCAGGAACACATGACTGACCAAGCTGCACATTGAATGTGCACATATAGGAAAGCACTGTATAATAGATATATAAACACTCATCCCAAAGAAAAGAATGTCTCTTATATCCTCATGAAAATGTAGGGTCCAGTTTTGGAAAGGCTGCTTATCCTTGCACACCTGCTGGCCAAGGGTAATTAACAAAGTCCGAGGCTGATTAAAATGTAATGTTATGTATGAGAGATTAAATCTTGTGTTCTCATTAAAATGTATTACAGATGTAAGAATGATTTGCTTTGCTTGTTTAATGGCATATCAACACCATATGTACCATTTAATGACGAAATTTACTTGGGCACTTTGAAGTAATATAAAAATATATGTTATTCTGCTTTCACAATTGATTACATGGTAGATGATACTCAGCTTTTGTGCATATACATGTTCATTGATTTTGTTTAGTTGTATAGCAACCTCTATAGGTTGTATAATGCCAAAATCTAAATATTTTGAATGTAATTTTATACCTTCAGCTACAGATAAAAAGTATTACTGGTCATTTTGCTTTAAATATGTATTGTTGGTCATTTTTTTATATAAAAATGTGTTGCCAGTATTTTTACTATAAAAATGTATTTTTATACTTTCATAGTGTTTTGTTTTTGTTTGGGGGTTCACTAGTAGCCCATAGCTGGGACCCTAACAGGTGCTACCAACCCAGGTCAGGGTGGACTTAGGAACAACAGCAATTAAGAGGTGGTTCACATGTTCCTCAAAACCTCAAATCTCTCAATCAGAGGCCCTGCTGCTGGATGTAATTTATCATCATACCCAGGATTACAGATGCAAAAAGAATGTGATAGCTATCAATGGTATCGACACTTGAAGAAAATATGATAGTTCTATTGGAGATGATGGTTAGTAGAAGAATGGAGGAGAACAAAATTTTTTTGTTTGGCATTGCAGAGCCATTCCAGTCAATTTTAATTCAGTTTCTTGTGACAATCTTAACCTCTTTATACCTGACACCTTCCCTGAATCCACTTCCTGTTGGCATCAACAGCATTCGATCTAATTACTCTCTAATGGGTTCATCCATAGTTGCTTAAATCTATCACATTTTAGATTTACAAATATAATATCTACACCCCACCATGTTTAACCATCATTTGTATTGCTTCAGGGGCTTCAGAGTTGTCCTTCTCCTAGACTGGTTGCCAACCACAGCTAGAGATTCCAGTCTGCCCTGCTATTTAACCCATATGGAAGAAGAGATGGATTCCTACCTTCCCTCAGAGCGTTTGTATAAAAATGAATATAATGATCCCAAGTGGGAATAATCGAACTTAGCTCTTCAATTTCTCATTCCAAGCCGCTAACCATTACACTACTTACACTTTCACAAATTTTTAAATGACAAAGGAAAAGTAGAAGAAACTTTAGCAAATTTTAAACATTTCACAGTTATCATCTCTGAACATCGAGTTGATAGCTCATCGATGGAAAAGTTATACTTCTGAAAATAATTATCAACTAGAAATGTCTGTCAGTCTATAGAAAACTTGGATCTGCACCCAAAGAGTTATGCCTTAGTTGCTGATGGCAGTGCAGCCTCTCTTATGGTTTTACAGGCTCACAGAGGAGTTGCCATCTCAATTGCAATGAATGCATGTGATGTTGCCTTGTTGTTTTCTTTCCATTGAGCACACTTCCCCACCAGCAGCAAGCCTTTGTTTCTCCTCTCCCTACTCCAGCCCTCAGTGTAAGTTATGTCTCCAGCATGAATGATCGTTAGCAATGTCTTCCTACCTCTTGATGTCTATGTCCATCCCCCTCATGTCCCTTTTGCAGATGACCTTGAAGCAAAGATGAGGTCACCCTGGTGCCCTCTTGCTGGTGGCCAGTAAAAACTAGAAAGACCCATGAAAATTTCACTCTTTTCCTATTTTAATATTCTCATGAAGCTTACTTTTTATGTTAATGATTTTATTCAATCATGGTGAGTTCTATAAAATATCCATAGAAATTCTCCTTTTACATCGTTAAATATTTGAGCTTAATAATTTTAACAAAATATTGCAATAACAATCATAAATATGAATGCTGATCGTTATTTTAAGAAGTGGGTACAAATGAAAAGATTTGAAATTGACAGCTTTTCCATTTCAGTATCTGTCTATATTTCTGAGATGAGGTACTATGTACACTATTTACATTGTTTGAACTATCGTCCTCATCTTTATTGCCATATTTATCACAACGTTTCGGATGTTGTATGCTCTGGCCTTCAACAGGTGGTTGGAATGTCAAACTGAACCTGCTGGGATAGACTGTTCTAGTTCCACATGCCATGTCTAATGGATGTCAGTTATCTCCTGCTAATTCCCCTCTCCAAGTTCTCCACTGCCTTAACCAGGTATTGAACTCACACTCTTCAGGTCCTGTCACTGGATCTAACTAATGCCTTTATCCACTGTGCCATGTCCTTCACTGAAACAGATGTTAAGCACTTTTTTCTTTCATTTTCTCACTGAAATCAAGTAGCATCTCTGATGTGTCATTCCCATGCTTTCACCAATCAAAATGGAAGAGTCCATTATTCATGAGGTATTGGCAGGTTGCAAACTAACAAACTGACTAACAAAGGGATGGACAAGCAGAATTGTTATATGATGATGATGGTAACTCCAAGTTGCTGAATAAGGAAATTAATACTGCAGATATTTTTTTTTATCTGATAATCAAATCCAGCAGCCTAATGGTAAGTGACATACAATGGAGAAAGTTTTTGTAGGTACAGACTTCTGCCCTCACCCTAAAGAGCCTCTCAGAAAGAGGGATTTTATTATACCCACTGTTAAAAATTTAATCAAGTAAATGAATGCATTTTATTACTGGTGAAAAAGAATATAAATGAGAAAGCAAAAAACACAATGTAAATGGCAACCAAAAAGAAAGGGGCTCTGCCTGTAATGGGAGGCAATCTTTTTTAGTCATTAAAAAATCGCAATGAAAATTTCTTTTATTGCTCATTATTTTAATACATATTATTTCTTTACATTTTCTATGTTTACATGTTATAATTCTTATTGATTTTATGTATCCTTAAGAGCTAGTGACAAGAAAAAGAACCGTGCTGTCCAGAAAGCTCAGTCCCAAAAACGATTGTTACGTGGCATCCAAAAAATCAATAAATCAGCTTCAAAGGGGACAGACCCTGGAAAGAATGACAGCATGAAAAGAAAAGAAGAACTGGTAAGTTTTTCTTGTTCTCTTGAAATATATGTAAAATAATATTTTTGATTTATTTACTCATTTACAGCACTGCTTTATGCTCAGCGATGTTTCAGAAGGAGTGGCTGTTTTTAATAGCATTCTCAAGATCTATTGCTCTTCACATTTTTTTAAAAGGTATGTGCCAGCATGGCAACAGTTCAAAATAATTTCATTTCTTTTTGTTTATTAAATTATTCATGTTTCTACTCCATTCACAGATTGCAATTTCTTCTAGTGTTTCTATCTCATTTTTATCATGCTGGCATGCTGATGCATTCTTTTAAAAAAATGGTATTAAAAAAGCCACTCATTTTGAAAATTGCTAAGCATGAAACAGTACTTTAAATGGGCAAATGAGTCAGTGATATTAAGCTGGATGTATAAAAAGTTAGAGATAAAAATTTGCCTAACCATTATTTTGAAATAATCAGAATTAGGATAAAAATAAAGTGAAATAAATAAGTTCAGTTTTAATAAGAACCAAAGGTTGAACAATTGGATGTTATTTTTGTGTGTGTGTATTAAAAAGAACTCTTATAAAGGAATTTAAAATAAACCACTCAGAAGTAAAACAGATTATTATTGTGACACCAGGATAAAATGATCTTTAAAAAAGAGATCTTATTTTATTCATAAAAAAAGGATACAAAAGTATCATAACAATTAAAATGTTAGGTATCTTTTTTCAACACACATACACACACACACACACACACACATATATATATATATATATATATATATCAAGAAAAGTGTTGGGGAAATTTTATGACAAAGTGGAAAAATTTTACTTGTGACACATTTCGTCCTTCAGGACTTTATTGGACTAGTTTTGTTATGTTGGTAGGACTACTAAAAAAAAGAAAATTCTAAAATTCTCAATGCCCCTCTACCATGCACATGTGTACTCCTACCAACATAACAAAATTAAACCAATGAAATCCTGAAGGATGAAATGTCTCACACACAAACACACACACACACAATTAATTTGGAGAAATTTATAGCTGAGTGGTGTTGGTTCAGTCATGCCTAGTACATAGGTTCATGAGTACATCAACATAGCATATTCACTCTTCAGGGCTTGTTGACTTCTCTGCTGCTATTTCTCAATTCTGGTGTATTTATGTGTGGTTTGTTGTAATTTCATATCTTTTTATAAGTGTGCATTTCTTTTTACTTAATGAGTATTATTGTTATTGGCATGGGGTTTATTGGTGTTATTTGCTTTGATGACGTCTTTTTGACTGTATTTTACTTGTTTTATAGGGATTGGTTCTTTTTACTATATTTGGTTGTCCTATTGTGTTGATGTGTATGTTCGCTTGGTTTTTTTTTTTACATCATGGTTAGGTATTTGACCATACATGTATGTGTGCCTGTGTGTTTAAGTGCCTCTGTTTGTATATGTGTATACTTTTTTATCTGGTTTTTATTTGGGTGTGATTCAGTATATGTTGTGGGTCGCTGTTTATATTGGTATTTAAGTAACAAATAGAAATTTATTTGAGTGTCTGCATTTCTCCATTATTTTGTTTTTGTTGTTTAATAATTTACTTTAGATTTTTAAAGGTAACTATTATGTGGAGTGCTCTTTTTATAATTTCCTATTTGATTTTAATAGTGATGTTATTTTCTTTTTGGCTCCATATGTATTTTGAGAGTGTTGTATTTTTGTATTTTTCTGTTTGAAAAATGTTTTGTGGTTGTTGAAATTTTTCTTTGAATGTTGTTAATGTGGCTCCTATGTAGAATTTTTTGTCTCTGTTGGTGTTATTTGTTACAGTGGCTTTGTATACTATATTATTGGTTAGACATTTATTGTTAAGTGCACAGTTGTCTTTGTTTTGACAATTGCATTTTTGATATTATTTTGTTGGTTTATGTTATTGTCTTTGTTCAGTATTTTTTTTATTGTGTTTAGTTATTATTTTCTCCTTGTTGTTCATGCAGCTATAACTAATTTTGACTGTTTTTGTTTAGGATTTTTATAGTTGTTTTGGAGGAAGTGTTTTTCAACTGAAGAATATCTTTCCTATTTTTGCTTTTATTGTAGGGTGGGTTAAACCAAATTGTTTCTTTTTCTCTTGTTTTCATTTATGTATTCCAGCTTATTTGAATAGCCACTCTTTCTTAGTGCTGATTCTTATATTTCTTTGTTCTCATTGAATATTTTTTGTTTATGTGTTTGAATGTGTTAGGTGGGTAGGAGTTTTTGTTGATATATATGTTTGTTGTTTGCATTTCTATATGGTTTATATGTATTATTGTTTAAATTGAATGTTACATCTAAGAGGTTTACCACTTTTAGATTTGATTTTATGAATTTTGTGAATCCTAGACTGTTGAAGGCCTTTATGGTTTTTTTCCATGGTTCTACCATTACAGTTTCTTAGGATTATTAATCTGTTGTCTCTGTATAGGCTTATATTTTCTTTGTTAATGATATATATGTCTATTAATTTGCATAACAAAGCAGCATCATAGCTGCCCATTGTTATGTCAAAGTTGTAATCGTTATTGTTGGTGTTACATTTTTTCAGCCATATTTTGTTTTTTAGTATAACATGGAGTTTCTACAGTGTTTAGTAATGTTTAGGTCATTGCCTGTGATGCTATGTGTTTTGCTAGATGAATTCTGGTACTATACAAGCTCCAGAAGAAAACACCACTAGTTGAGCACCTTCGCAGACACTTCACGCAACCATTTTCTGACAAAACTGTCCTCTGAAGCTACAATTAAAATATACCAAACTCACATCAACATGGAACAAATACATTTTTACCTGGATTCACATTGAATCTGCCAATATTGTTTGCAGGATAAATGTTCCAGGAGCTTATAAATATTTAATATCAAAAGTGTTGATTTTCAAAATATAATGGTGACTTATTTCTACCCAAACATACCATTATTCCACAACAGGCTCCAGTATGGCTAATGGAGAATCAGTTACTGTGAATAGTTAGACCAAGCAAAAAATGCTCTCCTTGCAATTCATAGCATGTTAATGCCCAACCAGTTGAAACTCAAATTTTTCCTTCCAAACTGGCAGTCATCCAAAACTAGCATTTTTTTCTATGTTTTGTGTCCCTTCTGGACAAGGGTGATCATGGCTCTCCATTCTGGTGGAATTAAAACTCGACTCCTTGATTCCTTGTCCTTAGCCAATAGCCATTATACTAACTGCACATTTCACAATTTATTTTACAGTCTCAGTAGATTTATAGAATCATTAGATTTTCATTATTTTCCAGTCCGCTATTATCAATTAATGCTTAAAAATCGGTTTTAACAAAACAAAATATAAATGACTAGAGAAAAGGATAAATTATGATGAGACAAAAATATTTAGATACTTTTGTTTCATTTATATAATATCTTTTTTGTTCTTATATTTTCTTACCCTGTTAGTAAGACCAAGAATATGCTGATTGCATTCCCTGCTGTTTGGTTCCAAACAGGAATGAATATTTATTACTGTAAAGTACACTGAATGTGGCACAAGGCCAAAATAAGGATTATGGGAGACTGGTCTTTACTTGTCCTACCTTTAACCTAGCTAGTCATACACGTGGATCCTTCCATACAAATATTATTCCTTTCACCACAACATCTCATTTACACTCACTGGTCATACCTCATTTGCTCTATGAATTTCTTAATTAGTCCCATATGTACAATTTCAGTTGGGGGTCGGGTGAAACATTACAAATCCCAATGCTTTTTTAGAATAATAAAACTTATGTACAAAACTAAACAAAACTGTGTTAGTAATTGTGACCCCCCCCCCAAAAAAAACAAATTAACCTTGGGGGACTATTTTGCTTAACTGGGTGCTTAAACATGCAGGGCATGTCATACTTGCAAAACAAAATGCATCTTGTGCCTACCAGAGAACTGAAAACTCTGTAGCCTAATGAGGGAAGTGATGGGGAGGGGAATTAAACTCTACAAAGCTGGAGCAAAAAGAAAAGGGTCTATGCACTTAGATACCCTGGCTAATTTAAAATTAATTGGCCAAAATGGACCAACTAAAAAACAAAACTGTTCTAAGCTAGCCAAACATGAACTGGGATGATTAAAGTAGCATCAAAAAACTTTCACCCAGCTTTTGCCAAGTTTCACCAAAGAGAGTCACAATAGGAATGACTTCCAGAAAACTTCCTTGGCCAAATTTATTGACAAATATTCTGGGATTTCTTCCTAACCAAGAAAAATGGACAATTCTCAGTTTCATGCCTGAATTTTTGTTCTTTCTTGCCTTGAAATCAATGCTATAACCACTTGACTGTATGGCTTTTGCATATGGTGAATACAATTTCTTGTGAACATTTTTGCTGTGGATTTGATTTTCATTTTATATATATATATACACCCAGCTCTACTTAGCGTATTGAACAATCTACGTTTTAGCTTTATTACTCACTTGGGTTTTTTCTTTGAACTAAAAACTGGACAATGTTTCACCCTGTTCAAATGTTTCTAGTTTTTCTTTTTTTTCCAATTTTTTTCCTTGGGTAACAATTTGTTTTGATATACTTACAAGTTGTGCTGAGGTTTTTTCCAGCCGAGTATTGCTATTAATATATATATATATATATTGTCCCATACTTTTTCACCCTCCTCTTAGTGTTTGAGATCTTTGGCAATTTCACTTGTTGAGAATTTTATTAATTACACTTATCCATGAACAATTATTCTACAAGTTATAGGCTGAGATAGAGATTCTGTTTTAATGCTGACAAATCCAAATATGAATTATCGGATGAGGATTAAGATGCTAATTCAAAAGGTGGTACCTACCAAGTAAATCATCTTGAACTCTGTCAAAGCATAAAAGTGAGGATTGGCCAGCTCCAGGTCGAGATATGAATATGTCATTTTTGGTCTGATATGACTATTAAAGTTAGAACATGGCAGCAGAGTCAGTTACTTTCTGGAACAGTACAAGGAACTGACCATTTTCTTACAATCTTTAGTAATGTTTCATATCATACGAGTTTCATTACTTGAGGTCTGGAATGAACATGAGTCCTAGTAGACATTCAAAGCATGAAACCTCATTTGGAGTACAACTGTTCATCAAGTTGGAAGAAAATTTGGGGTCTGCTTGGGGATTATAAAATATTACTAGTTCGGTTTTGTATGTACTGAATGATATAAGTCAGTCTTTGCTCCATTAAACTTACTTGGACTTTTATTTTTAGCTTCCTTACAACTGAAAATAAAATACAAGGGATTTTCAAACCATGCTAACACAATTTTTTTTCAATTCAGTTCATTTCCAAGGACTTAAGTGATTTTGAATTTAAGTAGACAAATTAGATAAATTGAACTTTCAGTTAATTTTCTCCACTTTTTTATTTTACAGTTGAATTTGTTGGATAAGTTTCGGCGAAATGCAGCCCAAGAAGCCTTTGAAAATGAGAACTGTGGTCAATTTTACCGCATTTTTCCTTCTGATGACAAACTGAGACAACAGAAATATACAACATGGATGACTTATGCATTCCTCATTTTTCAGAGTGATGTGAAAATCAGTGTCCCTAAAGATATAGACAATATTTACAACCACACTCTCCAGGTATGTGTAAACAAAAGCATTGGTGGGTTTACAATTTTCTAGTTGATAAAAGGAAATGCCCCACTTTTCTGATTAATGTTTTGTTCCATGTAGTCACTGGCTTCAGCCCTTCAAACCCCAATGTCACTTCATAGATTGTTTCAACAATCATTCATTTCATTATATAAGAAGGAAAGATGTGATAGTTTCAATTCTAAGAGGTACAGGAAGGAAGAACTTCAGGGAAACCATGCCTACTCATTGGCTTAGCATTCTGTCAAGTGTGGCCTTAGCTTCTCTAAAGAATCTTGCTGCAGAAAGTGTGTTGATTCTTCAGCATTCTTGAAGCCTTCTGCTAGCTTTGCACTGTTTTTGTCTTTTACCCCAAAATTAAAGAAAAGTAATCCACCACTGTCAAAATTCTATGCCCTCAAGATATTCTGACCACTTGCCATCTTGGCCCAGCTTCAACATTCTATACTATTAAAAGCTAATATTTTGATGTAAATAATTTATGGGTAGTACAGAATTTTATTATAGTTTTAAATATCAACATATTAAAAAAGTATATATTAATATATACAATATAAAAAGTAATGAAAAAATATTTACTATAAATGATAAATAATTATATAAAACATTGTTTTTAATATAATTTCTTGATCTAATATATTTGTACATATTTTATATTAATATATACATTTTTAATGTCATAAGATTTTGGTCTATTCACTTTAAATATAAAAATATTATTAATAATACTTCTAGTTAAATTAATTCTCAAATATTTTCCTTGTTATACAAATTAAAAAATCTTCATCTTTTTTTTGCTTTTTAAAACAACATTATTGGATTATCTTTTTTGACCTTAATTAAAATTACAGACATTCAAAATATACAGTTGTCAAAGAGGCATTGTTACATAACATTGCAAGATCATGTGGCACAGGTTCCTGCAATTTAATTTGAAAATTGAAGAATAGATAAATGAAAAGCAATGTAATAAAAAAACAATGAGTCAAAGAAATATATAGAATAATAATACTAATAATGAGCCTTCAATAAAAACCTTTTAGCATTTTTTGTACTATAGAAATTCTCCTGATTTGAATAACAAAAGTTACATCCTCTCGTATAAAATTTCTGCTAAATTCAAATGAAATTAAATGTACCAGAATGAACTAAGATCACAGGGGAAAAAAAAATGAAAATTTTTATTTTGAGCTAAAAGGAATAATAAATTTTACTATAGGACAACAGCTCAAATTTATGTTACATTTCTTCTTTTAACTAACTTTTATTAATGTTTTTCCACTTTTATTTCTTTTATTAATGTTTTTCCACTTTTATTTCTTTTATTAATGTTTTTCCACTTCTTGAATGCTATAATCACTTCTAAAGCCTCCATACACATGTAAACTAGCCAATCAAACAATATAACAAAACATGTGGTCTGGCATATAGAATAATATGTGTCTATAATATAACAAAATATGTGGCCAGGCAAATAGAATTTTATATGTTAATCTTTTTCTGGTGCTTACAATAGAGAATCAAACCTCGTTTGTTAATAAAATGGTTTAAATTTAACTATAGTTTCCAGTTTTACTTTGCATAGGTTTTATTCTGGTTCCACTCATCTATGCAGAATAGTACAAGTCACAAATTCAAGGTATCACCTGGCAAAGCCAAAGGAATTTGTAACCTGCCAAGGTCTGTAGGCTGTTTTGTCCAACAAAAAATAAGTATCAGTTGGGAAAAATTTCAATAATTAAAAAAAAAAAAAAATCCTTTAGTTAAGACTTAGCATAATGTGAATCTGTTATTGACTCAAAGTGCCACCAGTGGTATTATTTCTTCTTTTCCAGGAGGATGATATATTGAACTTACTGGCAGAATATGAAGATGATGAATCCAGTGATTCAAGTAGCAAAAAAAGGAACCCTACGCAAAGGGTAAGTGATTATATTTGGTTTCTGGTTGAATCTTAATAGATTGGTACATTCAAGAGAAAAGGAATTAATCAATGCAGAATTGAGAATGTGGAATAAGTGAGTTTTGTTGCTCTTTAGTTGTTGTTAAAGCCTTTTCATGTGAAAATTCTTTTTATTCTTGGATGGTTTATCAGTTTCAATGTGATTCCAAGGGAAGCGCCAAACAGCTGAAGGCCAAATATTATTCACAAGCAGATATATGAAAAATGATGTCTCTACTGATCAAAGTATGGAGGAAAGTTCTCATCAGATTAATGCTTGTAGCAACTGAAAAAAAAGAATATAAGTAACCCTGAGAATCATACGCAGATGTAATCAGAATAGGACTTTCAAACAAGAAAAATAAAATGCACATAATTTTATTTATATATATTTCTTCTGTATAATAAATGCGATGTCAGTGTGTCACTGTCCCACTTTTTCAACTAAAGACACACAACTCTCTAACTTTCAAGAGCTCATCTTCTTCTTCTATATAATAAATGTGAATGTCACTGTGTCACACTTTTTCAACTTTACCCCTAGAGGCTATAGCCCAACATATATAGATCATACCATTTTGGAATCAGGCTGACTCCATGAGCAAATTAAAAACATTCTGGTCTGAATCCAAACTCACAATCCTGAAATTTTGAAGTTTTAAGGTTTCATTACTGCAATTGTTTTCGACAATCTGTGTACGTGATTTTTTGCAACAATTCTTTTTGTATGATAACAATTTTAATAACTTGGAAATAAATTTGGGAATAATAGAAATTAATTGCAAAATTCAGTGAAAGTTACCCATAAAGATAATTGTTTGTATGGAATGTAAGGACCTATGTATATTAAAGGGCAGCTTTTAAGCTAGTATTACTATAAATGTTACACACGTTTGAGTAGTGTTTTGTTTTTTTTTTTTTTTTTTTTTTTAAGGGTGAGGATTTAAACAGAATAATTGACATCTACCAGCCAGGGCAATAAAAATTCATTACAGAGAAGATTTTTTTCTCTTTATTAATAATTTATTTATTATTTATCTTTGATTTTTGAACTGCTCAGGTTGGTAAACACCAATTATACAGTTTATTTTTTTAAAATTAAGATGTTGACTCAAACACATGTATCCACCAGATATAAGACTTATAGCATTGAGAAATAAAGTCATATTTAATGCTATAAATCTTATATCTAGTGGATATATGTGTTTGAGTCATTTTTTTTTTTATTCCTTCTTAGTTGAGCAAAGAAGCTTTCATTACTCACTTCTTTATATATAAAGAATTAATTTAAGTTTTTCATTAAGAGAATCCTTTAAAAGCTCAAATAAATGGAAATATGAAAGTGTAATATGTGATACATAGGTAGGATGAGTGAAAATTTCCTACCAAAACTGTATTAAACTTTGAGTGGGGGAAAATACAGTCTAGAGTTATCCTGATAGGATATCATACTCTTTCTGGTTAACTAATTCCAAATATTTTCTGTCAATTGCTGCATTCAGTTAATTGAAAGTAATACTTATTCAAATCAATTGATTGACTCGCTGGAGCTTATAGTAGAGGGCTTCCTACTAAAAAAAAAAAAAATGAAGACCTTCCAAAATGCCCAAACTGCCAAGAAGTACTTACTGTCAAACATTTTTTAATTAAGTGCAAAAACTGGCACAAAAAGACTTCTACAATGTACCCAACTGTAGGGCTCTCTTTGAGAGTGTCAAACCCAAAGCTATTTTAGAATTTTTAAAAGTAACTAAGCTCTACTCCAAAATATAAAAAGAAAACTGAATAAACACCCGGCTACAAAATCCAATTAAAATTGAATTACATCCACACCCTAATATAATAATAACTTATAAAAGAATTTGTTTGCAAAATGGACACAAAACTGATTCAGTGCAAAATGAACCATGGGGATGATGTGCCAGTAAAATAACCTATCTAAATCACTGTATAACCATCTTTAGATGAAAGGTATTTGGTACAATAAGGGATTGCTCATTCTACCTGCTTCACAATCTTAACTTTCACATTGTTGTAAAGTAACCACTTTTTATTGGTTGTTATAATTTGTTTAAAAAATAAACCAAGGCATTTTCATTATATTTAAGTGGTGGAAATACAATCCAACCAATTTTAAAATATATATTTAATTTTGGTGGAAAGTCAAAGTAACATTTTTAATATTTGATTTGGATACTATGGATCTGCTAGAAATCTCCTGCTTCATATAATGTTGATGATTTTCATTTGATCAGTGCTAAATCTCAACTGGCTTTCCCAATTGTGAAGTATCATTCAGTAAAAGAATTCCAACACACATCATTTTGGATTCCTTTGATCATTAATAATATTTCCTCCATAAAATGCACAATTCTTTTTACTTTCAAGTTGCATTTTACCATTCTTTTAATAAAATAGCATAATCTATCATAAAATGGTGCTTATTTTTCCATCTTCAATGTTAGCATATTTTTGTTTATTCATTCTATTTGTGATAGAAAAATTTTTTATGCATATTCTCATTCTGTTTTGACAGCTGTCATAACAGAATGAAAAACTACCATTTTTTTTATTCTAGTTCAAACTGAAAACTCTTTATCCCATGAAAAAAAAGAATAAATCTTTTCAGTAATGTAATAATAATTTAACAATGACTTTCTAAATAAACCAGCCTAAAAATCCACCTGAAAAATAAATCAAATACAAGTCTTGAGAATTTATGAAGATTGTCTCAAATTGTCCCAAATTGTCCTTTACCACAAGAAAAGGCAATAAAGCATTCAGCTTGAATATTGAAGAAAACATGAATGGAGAGAAATGCTAATTTCATATTTTTAACTGAAAATAACGTCAGTAATTGTCACGTGTGGAGAATATTGTCATTATATCTGTGTTGATGTATTCAACCATTTTCTTTTGATCTTATGAATCTGTTGTGCATATTTGTTTGTAAGAGCATTAATTTTGTTAAGAAAGGTGAAATGAGGAAAAAACCTGGGCATTATTTTCAGTTAAAAATATGAAAATAGCGTTTCTCTACATTCCAGTTGCTAGGTACATTCTGTTTTTGTTTTTATTAGTTACTTTGTTCATTTAATTTCATTTTCGTATTTTGCTTTGATAAAGTCTACATTGGACGAAACGCATCAGCAATTACCAGTTTTCCTATTGTCATTTTTATTCATAAATATTGTCTTCTCTACTGGTTAAATTGGAGAAATTTTCATATATATATATATATATACTGACAACATGCAAAGTATATTCAAAGAAGGGTCTGTAATGTAATTGATCCTGACCTGGCATCTTGACTGTAGTCACTTTCTAACCAAAGTGACATGGCTTCCCTCTGTGTTTTCTACAAATATTTTCATGGCAACAGCTCTGATGTGCTTTTCTCCTTGGTGCTGCAACTGCATGAATTTAAGCATGCTACTAGATTGGCCACTAGGTCTGTCTGCTTTACTGTTAAACAAGCTAGATGCAACCATATGTTCTATTTTAATAATTTCTTTTCTTGCAATTCTTGTTTGTGAAGATGTTTTCCAGTTTTCTTACCATCAACATTCTTCATAAATTAAAGTGCAACACTGATCGCCATCTTCTGTCTGCCTATATCCCATTCTTTTATTGACCTTTTTCCTCACTAAAATCTTCTCATTTTCTTTCACTCCCTGTAACCTCTGGCATCTTAGTGGCATTATCACCTTGCTTGGGGTGAAATGATTAAAAAAATGTATATTATGTTCACAGTGGCAGAAGTGTTAAATTAATTATTATTACAAAATTAATTATCCTGTTTAATTTGACTTTAAAATTTTCTTGACTGCATTTAATGCCTACAATGTGTGCACTTAATATTTTGTCTTTCTCCAAATATGAATGCAGTTATTCAACCCCTACATTCAACACATTTTCTCCAGTCATGACATTGAAGAAGAGGAGATCTCTGAAGAAGAGCAAAAGTTGAAAGCCACTCTCATATCAAAAAGAGGTTTCTTCACAGGAGGACCAATGCAGAGGAACAACTACAGAAAAGTAGGCACCAAAAATGATAAACTGTTACAAAGGAAGCCCACTAAAAGTATCACTCCAAATCCAGCAAAGCCAGATCTACTAAATGCACGATCACTTTCTGAGTCAAGAATCATGACTACATCTCATGTAAGCTTACTTTATTTGTTTTTATTACTGAAGCATGGATATCAGTTGTAACAGATGACAGTGTATCTTAAAATGAGAAATTCTACATTATTTCAACTAATATTTGGAATGTAAATTAGTGCATCAATACACCTGGATCAGTGATAGCTGAACATTTGTTTAATAGCTATCGGTGTGCTCAGACATGTTCTTGATACTGATTCTTATTCTGATTTTTGCCAAGAGTTTTTAGACTATCTAAAGCCCTTTCAACCAGCTCTTCTTCTTTATGCAGAAAGAGTGGATTTTAGGTCTGAATGATTATATATATATATATATATATATATATACACGCACACATACACACACACACACACACACATATTCTTTATTTAATGTTGTCATTTTTTCAGTTCTTGATAGATCTGTAATAATAGAGAAATGAAAGCTAGTTAAACTTTTGTTGTTTTTTTTTCTTCTCCTTTTACTTTTTGTGTATTAACATATTGAATACAATATAATATTTATATAGTAGGGGTACTTGTTGATTATAAATAAGTAAAACTAATGTTTACTTTCAGTTACTCTTCTTCTTTTACTTAACCAGTGAAGTAGAGTTTGTCAAAGGCTCTGTAAATCCATTGCTACAGATTTAAATAAAATAGTAGTTATCAAAAAGCTTTTTTCATCATTTAGCAAGGATGTTTTCAATTTCTAAATATTTTTTAATAGCATTAATTAATGTCTATCTAATTCTCATATGCTAAGTATTAATAATTATAAACAAAAAGTTTGGTGCTTTTTTTTTTGTTTTATTCAACATCAGTTGAGATCATAGTCCACAATCTCATAGCTCAGTTAATCATGGACTTCATAATTTTTTCAATAGTTATATAGTATGCAGCTATGTGCTATTTTAGATGTTCAGGGTTGACCTTTAAGTCTGATTTGATTTAATCCATAGCTAGGGGAAGAGTAAATGAATCCATATCTTTGTGCAAAAGTGATTGCAACAACATTGACTGAAATTTGAATTTGGCTTGCTGATCTTTCTTACTGAGCCACTTATTATGCTATCTGCAGATCCACAGATTTTAATCACCTAAAAGAATAACGGATTCTAGAGAACTTAAAGCCACAAATAAAACTCTTCACAGACTCTCTGCTTTGTTCCATTCCATCTTTAAATGTGTCTTTTCAAAAATAAGCATTTTTAACTGTTTAAATTGTTTCTAACTGTATTGTCATTATCTTAAATTTATAAATTGTTTTTCACAAGGAATAGATTTTTAGGGTGTATTTATGTTTCTACTATGTCAAATGTTTTTTTTTTCTTTCCTTTCAGCATATCAAAATGTCTTCAACTTCTTTCACAGAAGAGGAGTTAACTAAGAAAGCACTGCAGAGTTTAAATGGATTTCAAATAAAATATCCTGACAAAAATGACAGTGAAGTTGAACAGCTGTTATCGAAGGTAAAACTTCAAAAGATTTCTATTAGCTGAGAGGGATATATTTTACAAGTGCACAAATATAAGGTTAGATATATTGAAATGTATTAAAGTACTACTCTCAGATTAAAATTAAAGACTAACTTCTTACATGACAGTATAACAGATGTTTAATAAGTGTAGCTTATTCTATTACAGGGCCAAATGTGAAGATTGTGTTATTTCAGTCTTGCAAGGAAGATTAACTTACCTGCCTTTCTTGAAAAGGTTGATAAAATATTAATCAAACATAATTTAAAGATTTTTTATTACAATTCTACACTAATTACTAAGCAAAGAATGATGATAATAGAATATGAGAAGAAAGGATGGGATGACCTGACTCAGTGATGGAGGTGGAATTACCTTACCAGAGGTACATTGTCTGATGTAGAAAATTAGGATTGAGTTTGATTAGATATGGCACTGAATTCAAGATGAACTTAAAGCAAAAACCCTCTTTAAAATAAGTGGCAGCCCTACAGCCACTACAGGTGCAAAAATTTATTCTAAACTTCAGATAGATTGTTAAATATGTTTTCTTCGTTATCTAAGACAGTGGTTCCCAAACAGTGTGGCAGAAGAGGATAGCAGGTGAGGCAGAATGATTGAAAAACAATCAAAGATTTAGAGACAGTTTTAAAAAATTCATATGCCAAAAATAAATATGATTTCAAAATTTAAAATATAATTATGGATTACTTGTAATTATATATAAGATTTAAGAAACAGCAGATATTTTTTATATATAGTGCTACTGAGCACTGTATCTAAAAATATTAAAAATATAGCGTTAATAATATTATATGTAAAAATTACTTAACTTTTAAATATTAATTTTATCCCAGGTTCGAAGTTTCTTGGTAAAATTTCCAGTCTTAAATGATATTTTCCAATTTTTTTATTTTTTATTTTTTCATTTTATTTCATGTGTATTCATGAATTTCCAAGCTTATACACACATACTGGCACTATACAAAGTGTGTATGTATATATACTATCTCCTTGTAATAAAACAATATATATGTATCCAGAATGAAAATATATATATATATATATACACACAAGAAGAATTTGGATTACTCTCCTACACAAAAAACGATGGTTAAACATAAGAAAAAATTAATTCCTTTAAATAATATGTGGAAATAGACATTCTTCACCTGATGAAGGTCACAGGACCTGAAATGCAAGTAGCAAAAAATATGAAAAATAAAGTATAATATGCAAAAAAAAATCTATATTATAACCAAAAACGTTTGTGGCTTTACTTTTCTCTTTAATATATATATATATATATATATATATATATATCCTCACACCATCAAGGATCCATAAATTGTTTCATTAATTGGTATAATAATAATAATAATGCTAATTAACTTAAGGATTTGATCTGCCAATATTTCAATAAGTCAAATTACATTTTTTTTATTCTTTTCCAGATCTATGAAAATTGGAAGCTATACAAGTCAAATATAGCTTCCTATTGGCTGATTAAACTTGATTCAGTGAAACGAAAACAGGTAAAATGATCAGACTTCGTGGCTTTTATTGGAAAGCAACAATCATTTTTAGAGATATTTTCTTAAAATTTACCAATTTTGTCCTCAATATTTAATAAGCTTTTGTGCTTAAATTCTTTTCTTCCTGAAATTATTTCTGTTCTCAAAATCATAGTTAAGATTTGGCTAAATTGGATTTTAGCTTCATAGCTGACAATAGTTTTAGAATTTTTTTCTGGTTCTATGACTTAAATAAAGAGAGAAAGAGAAAGGAGAGAATTGGCTGGTACAGAACGTTCAACATATTGACTATGCACATTTTAAAAACAAATTTTTTTATGACACATTAAGTTTTGTTATCCAAACAAAATAATATAATTCAAGATGTACAGAAAAAAAAATACTTCAATGGAAAATTTAGTTCATAATTAAAGACCATGTAATTAATTATAGTAAATTTATAATATCATAATGCACCAATTTGGAAAACTCTGGCCTAGTTTCACTAATACACTTTAATTTCAAGTTTCCATTTGTTATAGTACCAAGGTAATATTAAGATGACTGGCAATGGGACAGGAAATAGAAGAAGAGATAAAAGAAAATGATGTTGTCTCTTACAATCTGTACAAAAGCTTCTTTTTTTTTTTACTCATTTCACCCCAAGCAAGACATTAATGCTATTAAGATGCAAAGTGTTAGTGGGAGTGAAAGAGAATGAGAAGACTTTAGTGAGAAGAAAAGACAATAGAAGAACAGGATTCAGAAAGGCAGAAGATGATGATTAACATAGCATATAAATTTTTGAAGAACCTAGGTGTAGGGAAGCAGGAAACAGGAAGAGAGTTCCAGATATGAGAAGAAAAAAGACTATGGTAACATCTAGCTATTTAAACAGTAAAATGATGGGACCTACTTTGCAATTGATTCAATATAATCACTCATCTTCATGTCAGTGGAAAATAGGAGATTAAGAAGGTACAATGAGTTACTCTAGTGGACATTAGCATTGGCCATCTTGATGGAAGGCAAAAAAGGTTCTCTATAATGATCAAAAAATAAGTTTCATTTTAGAGGTATTAAAATTTATAAACCATTTCTTGCTCCAGTTAACAACTGATTAAAAGTCATCATTGAGTTCAGCTGTGAGTTTTACATCATCAGACCTATTAGATTTACTATTAAGACAGGAGTAAATAGTATCATCAGCATACATACTGATATGTCCTGGAAAGGGATATATTTGAATGAAGTAGCTAAGTGGTTTTGGCTACTATAACCAAGTAGAATACGGTAGCAGTAATCAACTGATACACGTCGTAGTTGCAGGTAAGAAGTGGAGATCAATAGCGTAGCCCAATGGGCATCGTTATAGACTTAGCTCTCAGACTAATGCTCTGACTTTCCTACACGTCTGTTGGTATTTATGACGGACACCAGCAAATCATATTCCAGTGAGGGGGAACACAGGTGTACGCATATTCCGTTATATCACATACGATATGAGAGTTATTAATAGAAAATGAATGAGAAATGACAACAAGGGTTCAAAAGCAGCAGCAAGAAAAAAGAAGGGATAACAAAAAAGGTCAAGCATGATAACAGTAGCGGCAGGCAATAGAAACTTAAGGCTCCAAGTTCTTAGTTCAAGATTGTCACACACAACAATAGCCTAGTGGATTAAAGCATTGGTTTGTGAATTTGGTGAAAAAGTAATTGTGAGTTCAATCCCAGTAGTACAGATTTAGATTCAGTGAACAGATTTAGATTGAGCAAAAACCGAGCAGCACTAAAAAGAACAGGATGAGATATCCCTAGATATGGCCTGTGGAATGTGAACAATCTACGTCTGTAGATTAAATAAGGGATTAAGTTTGGAATTCTCTGAAAGTTAACTGGATTGACAGACACATGAAGAAGGTCAAAGAGTACAATGGCCAAAACATTTTGATAACAACAAAGATAGGAAAATTAGTTTGAATGTAAATAATGATAAATATTCCTTTTTTTCAATGTGAAAATAATGGAGTTTATATATGATTGCAAATTCTAAATATGACATTATACATTTATCACAAATGTTTATGTGTTAATAAAATGCAGAACATTGCACAGAATAATAATTAGCTGTATTCCTGAATGAAGGAAACCAGAGGAAAAGGCAAAGGGCTTGTTCCTGTCCAGAACAAAAGTTTTATTTCATTGTGATATTATCTTTTGCAGATAATTGACATTGTCAAGTCCAATGTGTGTATCTTGTTCCAAAAGATCTGGAAAATCCATAATATTGAACAGACCAAACTGTATCACCTTCTACAGAAAGTATTCAACCGACTGCTGTGGAGTCATGGCCAGGGTCTTTGGAATTGTTTCTTTCTTCCAGGGTCAGTCATTAATTATTCATTTCATTAATGAGTTGTCGCTCAAACATTATTACCTGTCTTTTCTCATTTTATGCATCACTTGAATCTTCGTTTTCATCTTTTTTTTTTTTTACTCAATCTTTGTATTTTTTTTATTATATTTTTGCTTTCTATTTTGTTGTTTTCTTTCTTCCCATCATTTTGTCTCTTGCTCAAGATTTTTTCCATTTTTCTTTTCTTTAGATCATGTCTTCATTTCTCATTTTTTCTTATTTTTGTTCTTTTTTCTTTTCCCTTCACCTCCTCCTCCTCCTCTCACTTTTTCCTCCATCTATTCCTTCTTTTTGTTCCTTTTCTTTTTCTTTCTATGTCTTTTGTCTTTGATGCTTTTTCTTCTTTTTTCTTTCTTCCATTCTTTTCTTTTCCATTTACTTTCTTTTTATTATTCTGTTCCTTTTTTCTTTTCTTTTACTCATTTTTTTACCATTTATTTACATTTTTCTATCCTTTTTATTACTACTTTTTCCCTCTTTTTTTTTTCTTCATCTTATTTATTCATCATCTTTTTTCTTCTTTCATTTCATCTATTCCTTCTTTTCTTTCCTTTTCTTCTTTTTCCCCTTTATTTTCTTATTTTTCATTTAATTCTTTTTCTTTTTTTCATCCTTTTTTTCTTCTCTTCTACATTTTTTCACCATCTGCATCAATTTTTTTCCTTTTCCTTCTCCCTTGTTTCTTTTTTCTTTTCCCATCATCTTATTGCTTATTTCTTTTTTCTTCCTCTTTTTCTTTTATTTTTCTTCTGAGAAAATTTTTGTCTGAATCCTTATATTCTCACATTGTACAAGGGTGGGTTGAAAAGTACATAGACTATGAAAGAAAGATGCTAAAGCCATGAAATCTTGCATACATTAATTTCAACTCTTCCTATTAACAACTGCATTGTTTCTTTCAAGCTAAACTGACAACTGACTGTTCAAAGAAAACTTGTAAAGTAACTAGTAGCAACTTCTCTTGAAAATGGACAGAATTTGGCATTGTGCTGTTATCAAGTACCTGCAGGAAAAGGGTTTAACCTTGAAGGACATTCATGTTGACATGGTTACTACATTAGGGGATGCTGCCCACCTTTATCAAAATTACAAAAGTGGGCAGCTGAATTTAGGAGGGGAAGGAAGAGTCTTGAAAATGACCTAAGGTCTGGACATCTTGTGAATGCCACCACAAGGGAAAACATTGATTGTGTTCACCACATGATGTTGGATGACAGGTGATTGACAATAAATCAAATAGTCAATGCTATTAGCATAGCCCATGAAAGAGTTGAGAATATTCTGCACAATAAACTTGGCATAACAAAGGTTTCTGCTTAGTGGGTGCCACCTCTTCTGACACCTGATCAAAAGTACATCAGACTGATCACATCACGGGAAAATTTGACAATGTTCGAGTCTGGTGCAGCTGGTTTCCTTGAATGTTTCTTAACCCAAGATGGGTTCATCACTTTGAGCGAGTGACAATCCATGCAGTGGAAACATCCCTCCTCACTTGCTCTGAAGTAGGTCATGGTCAGTTCATCTGCAGGATAGGTGATGGCCTCAGTTTTTTTGGGTGCAAAAGACATTTTTATTGACTATCTTCAAAAGGACCAAACCATCAATGGATCATACTATGCCAACTTGCTGAGGCAGTTATGAAAAGCTATCAAGACCAAATTCCCAAGAAAAATGATGAAAGGAATCTTGTGCATGAGTGTGGCTTTGGACTGGTTGGTCACCTTCTCTATTCTCCTGATTTGACTATCATCTGTTGACCAACATGAAATAACATTTGGTTGAGAACCAGTATTGCAGTAATGATGACATATCTACTGTTGATGACTTTTTTTGAGCAACAGGATGAACTTCTTTGAACAGCCAGGTGTTAGTTTACCTGGAAAGAAACAATGCAGTTATTAACGAGAAGAGTTGAAATTAATGTATGCAAGATTTCACAGCTCTAGCATCACTCCTTCATTGTCAGCCTATGAACTTTTCAGCTCATCTTCATAAATTAGCATATATCTCACCATGTACAATTGGTCAGGAAAGTGACTTTAACCTAACACCTTTGGAAAATATCTGAAAAATATACCAGGGGTTGGCCCAAGCCAAAGTGAATGAAATTATGTAGACGGAACTGTTCAGAAGCTGTCAATGGTTTCACTTGCATATAAATCACCGAGAGTTTGGGTGTACTGGCCTTGTTCAGAAAATTGATCATGACACATTATATGCTCTCTCCTATAAACTATAACTAAGGTCTGCAGTACACAGCAGGCATCTGAAATAGGGTTTGGATAGCAGATGGGTGCACTCAGAAATATTGGCAGAATCTTTTTGTTGTAATGGTTATCAGATAATAGCAAATCATGTTGGCCCACAGTCTATCAAGGCCAAATAGTGGATGCCACCATAGGGAGTTATGCCCATCGCAAATTTGTATGTGTATATATATATATATATATATATATATATATATATATATATCTTCTTCACTTGGTAAATTCTTTTGTGTTTTTCATTCAGAATTTTATTATTTCCATTTTTTTTACCCAAGCTAACACTCTGCTATGGACCGATAAGTGATTCTTAAGGCCAGCTTCACTTTTACAACCTCTCTTGCACACATGGCAAACATAAAGTTTGTCTGTGTTACCTATGTTGGAAAATTGCCTGTCTCTGTTTACAATCATGTGACATTTGAGTACCTCAACAGACTTACAAATCTTGTCATAAAACTCACATAAGTAGCCTGCAGATGTTTTTGGTAGAGTTGCAGTCAGAAGTTTACATCTGACCTCTCTGGTGTGATCTCACATGACTGGTTAAACGAGGCAGAAAAAGGGTGACCTTTCCACAAATACTACAAGTGTGTTGGTGTCCTAATAGCTCTGGGACAGATTCTATTTCTCACTTCCTAATTGTGTGCTTTTTGCTGGAATGCTCAATTTTCTTCTGTTCAAAACTGTTTCCAAATGAACCTTCTCCAGCCAGATCCATCTCCAGGAACAGTTTCCAAGTCTTCAACATTAACATATATATATATATATATATATATATATATATATATATTTACATATGCTCTATCTCTGATATTGAGCACTATCCCATAAATATAGCACACACTAAGACTATATTTTTTTATATATATATATATATATATATATATATATATATATATATATATAGTATTTAAGTAGTCACCCATCAGGCTTTTTCTGGTGAGGAGGGTGGCTAGAAATCAATCATTAAAAACAAGAGCTGTCAAAGGATGGATAAATCTGCTTATGGGATCAACAGTTGTCTAACATGTGTGCATGTCTATAGAAATACATGGGGTGGTGTCCAAGTGTGTGGTGAGCCCACTGGGCTTTTTTTACTCCATAGCCTTCATTAAGGCTTCATTTAAGAGAAGGGAAACATTAATTTAATAACTGCAACTTGAATGCATCTAATGATGTCGACTGGTTCTTCTTTTTGTGTAGATGTTGCTTTTGCTCAGAGAGTCGAATTGACAGAGGGCAATATTTTTGTCCAGTTTAAAAATTGCATTGCTTGATATTGTAAGTAACAACTTGCAATGATATTTGATATGACCATATCTGACAACATCAATGTGGCAGCCATTTCATATATATATTAGCAAACCAGGAGGGAATTCAAAAAAGATTCTGTTGTTTGATCGTTTGATATATCAGATGCTTAATGAACAAATATTATCAAAATACCAAAAATGTCTTATTTATATTCAGGGAATTCCATTTCACATCTCCCTCTCTATCTCTGTTTTTATAACGGTCAGTTTTTTTCTCTCTCATTCTTTTCCATCAATCATGGGAAGACAAGTCATTGCCTCAAATAATTCTAATCTTTTGTATTCTCAGGGGAAATTTTCTTTGACAATAACAAGTTGTTTTGAATAAGAAATTGCTGACTGTTTTTTCCCATGAATAATTTGCTATCAATTCAGGGCAGCCATATTGAGTAGACAAAATCACTCAGAATTATCTTTAGAACAATTTGTCCTTTATTTTTATTAAACATTTTAGGAAAATGATTTTTTAAAACATATTTTCTTTGCATGCGTAATATATGTCTTGTCTTTTGATAAAAGCTAATCAAAATTTTGTTATATTTATCCAGAAAAACATCTCTCTCATATATATATATATATATATATATATATATATATATATATATATGTTAGATTTACCAGATTCCTCAATGTTTTTCAAATCTTGGCATAACGTTTACGAATCTCTGACAGTCTTCCGCTATTTGTTGGAAAGTAAGGCTTGGCTCATTTTCCAATTTTTTCAGAACTCTATGTTTAATTTCAGTGTTTTTAGATGAAATGAGTCCCTGAACAAATATCAGACACTTGTAATTATTTGGACTCAATTCTGACAGTTTAAAATCATCGCAATGCTTGTTCACGACTGGCTCGAATGTAGTGTACTATCCTTGCTGGTTAAATTCTTACACTTCCATCTCTTATGAAAAAGTGAAGTTTTAGAACTAAAAAGTTCTGTAAGAAGTTTAACCACTTTGGTAAATGTTAGTTCACTTCTTTTACAGTGTAAAATATAGTTCCCAAACTTGGTATGCTCCATGGTGCCTAGTTTTCAAAATAATAGGTGAACCTTCTTAGTGCAATCTGTGGCGTATAAATCCTCATACCTTCTAAAATAGGAAGCAAAAGTTATATCCTCATCTGGAGAATATGCAAAATTGTCTATTGCACCCCAGATCGTGTTTTTTTGAGAACGCATTTTCGTTTTCACTAATTTGCCCCATTTGTCAGTTCAAACAAATCTTTTTGCTCTTGTCGAGTTTGAAGTAGAATTTCTTCAAGTTTTTGTTGTCTGATTTCCGTTTGTTTTAGTAATGGGAGACATTTTTCTTCAATTTGTTTTTGAAGTTCAAGCCTTTACTTTTTAGTTTGTTTTTTAATTTCAAGCCATTCTTTTTGTATATCCAACTGGAGTTGTTCCTTTCTTTTTTGATGTTCAAATTGTTTTTCTTGCCATTTTAGTTCCCATTGATTTTGTTGTTCATATTGGAACTTAAGAAAATCGAGCATGACGGATGTGACCTTGTCCATGTTTGACTGTGTCTTTTTTAGGATTAAACCAAAATAGAATTTAATTGAGGAGAAGAAAAAACAAAATAACTTCTTACTCACTCAGGGAATCACGAGTGCTTTTTTTTTACTCTGAGAGACATGAATTCTCAGAAAGTTCAGTTACACCTTTTTTTTTTGTTTGGTTTCCTTTTTGGGATTACTAAGTACTCTTGAGTAGAACCAATATTGACAATTTCCACATAGTTCTTTTGGGGTGCTCAAGGGTCCTTAATGGTTTTTGTTGCCAAGTTGTTGTAGCCTTGTTAGGGCCAGAATTAAAGACACAAGAGAAAAATCAAGTTAAACAAATATATTAACAGAAAACAGTAATACAAACATATACAAACAAGTGTGTTACAGCAAGAATGTTCAGTCCAACTGTCAGTCAAAATTAAATAAAAACTTAAGCACAGTACCTTGTAAGTAGTTTTTAATGAAACTCGTAGAAAAGAGGTGTTACTGTCCAAATACACAATTATATATATATATATATATATATAGTAAGGTTTTTTTTTATATATATCCCACATGGATAAAAATATAAGTAAAAGAAGTTGAAAATGCAACTGGAGTCTTTAAGAATATTTATTTACAATAACTTTACCAGTTTCACAGTTCTATGATTTTCAAAAAGTTATAC